CTGTTTGTAACATTTTTGGAAAGATAAACCAACAAGTCATTTTATAAAGTAAATGCACAAAAGCTTTTTATCCACTGATGTCACTTCTAACAGGTGTTCTTTTTGTTACCTACTACTTGTCAAACTGTTCTAGAATCTGAGTATTTTCACTTTAAGAGGAAATAAACAGTGAATTTAACTGTCAACATCAACCACCAAAGAAGTTAACTGAATATTCAAAAAGAAAAACATTCAACAGTAAAATGATATTCAGAATTCCATTACAAGTCTTTGCTACGAGAATGAAGCCAATGCTCCCGCACACATATATACTACCATTTACCTAAGGACTATTATGTGTCGGTACAAAACTTAGTGTACCTTAATTCTTTCATAATTTTTTGGGAGAGAACTGGGAATCAAACTCAGAACCTCACATTTGCCAGGCAGGAGCTGTGCCGCTGAGCTGTATTTCCCCGGTGCCCTATCTTCCATAATTTTTGATGCATAAAAATTGTATGGATATCTTAATACACATACACTGCAGTTTTTAAATCAGATTAAATATAGCTCCTCAAACATTTTCTTACATGAAAATTTTCAAAATCCTTTCTTCTGGCTTTAAAAATGTACACTACCTAATGCTATAGACATCTACTATACAGTAGTATACCAGAACTTCCTGCTTCTATCAAACTGCAAGTTGCGACTGATCAAACTTCCTCAATCTTCACACCCACACCACCCTCACAGGCCTCTGGGAACCGGGAGACCACGCTGAGGGGGCCCCCAGCAGGCTTTGGAATTAATCAGCTGGCTTTCTACATTAACTTATGAGTCTGCCCCAGGCCAAGTTACTTGCCTGTGGAGCCAGCCGCTGGCACGCAAAAACAGAACTCTCCATGCCAGCAGTCACAGCAGCGACCTGTAGTGGCCTGTGACACGGTGACCTCCCTGAAGGCAAGGTAACACCGCAGCTGTGAGCACTGCCTCTCCCTCAAAGTGTTCAGGGTAATACTGCCAAGCTCTTGTTAAGGACAGTTCTCTCATCAAGCAAAGATTAGCTGTTTGGAAGCCTGCTCCACTCTTCACAAGGTCTTGCTCACTTTCACACCTTTTTACCTCAGCCATTCGTGCACTGCAGGCCCCGCCCCCAAATAAACAGTGGGCAGAGTGGAGAAGTCTTTGTCTTAGCCACAAGAGCTCCGATCTTCCTGGACCCCCCTACCACTTTTGTCCATTGTCTCTTACCCTTTGCTGTCTACTCACCCAGGGGATCAGGAGCCCAGCCAGCTCTGGATAGTCACCACCATCCTGCTCAACTTCTCTAAGACCAACTTTTTCTTTGAGACAGGGTCTCCCTAAGGCGCTAAGTTGCCCAGCATTGAGTTCAAACTTGGGACCCTCCTGTCTTAGCCTCTCAAGTGTTACAATTCCGGTGGTTACCATCTCACCCAACTGAGATTAACAATTTTTTAGACTCCACATTTAAGCAAGTATTTGTTGAATTAGTTTTACTGTTACATTTTAGATATATATAATGACCACATTCATCATAGGGAAATTGTACCTCTACATGATGTACCGTGAGTCTTCTTTGTCCCCAATCTCTTCCCCTCCTTTCAAGCCCACTTCCCCTCCGTATTTACAAAAGCTTTGTTTCCACTTTTTCCCTTTTATTTTTTTCCTTTCCTTCCTTTCCCTTTCCCCCTCTTGTTCCCCTTCCCATATGAACCTTTTCTCCCTATTTTCCAACATCTATTATACATGTTGGTCCTTATTTACCCTTTTGGTTTCTCAGACTACAGAAACAATGTGATATTTACACAGGTGTATCTAATTTATTTCACTTAAGAGTATGGTCTCAAGCTGCATCCATTTACCTAGAAATGTCTCAAGTTTATCCTTCTTTATGGCAAGAGTAGTATTCCATTGTATAAAATGCCATATCTTCACCTATTCATCTGTTGATGGCACCTGTCAGCGTCCTACCCCTCCGTCCTATTCTCTGTAATATTACTTTTATTTTCTGCACAGTGCTCTTACTCTCTGAAATTCTTATTTGCTTACTTATTTAGAAACTGTCTTCTGTACTATCACGTAAGCTCCAGAAAAACAGGGATCTTGTCTGGTATAAACATCCTCATGACCTAGACAAACAGGAACTGCTCGATCAATATACTAACACAAGCAATAGGTAATGACGTGGTTGGTCCTGGCAACAGGGGATGGATGTGGGGGAGAAAATCTGAAGGGCCTCACAGAACATGTTGGCAGGGCACGGTGTACTTACCTTCACTCCCAGCACTCTGGGAAGCTAGCACGGGAAGACAGCTAAATTTAAGCCCAACGTGGCAACTCAGCGACTTAGCAAGACCCTGTCTCAAAATTTAAAACTTTAAAAAAGGGATAGGGATGTAGTGCAGTGCAAAGGCTCTGGGTTCAATCCCCAATATCACAAAAAAGAAAAATGTTTAAATTGAGTGCAGCTGCTTGCCTCTGAAAAGGGAAGTAGATGGCTAAAGACAAAGGAGAGAAACTTAAATTTTGAGTGATGTGAAATATTTTAACCGATTTTTGACTACAGGAACTTACTTGAAAAGTTACAGGAAGGAGGAGCAGAAGAAACTACCGGGAAAGAGGAAAAGAAAGAATACTAATTAGGAAAAGAACAACGCTATCAGTAATGTTAATCATAATAGTTAACACCTACTTATTCTGTTGGGCATGTTCTTACTTAATCCTTAAGTCCCTGGAAAGCCTATGACATTTCATATGGAGAGTCTGAGACACATTTATTGTGTTTACATAGCTAAAGAAACCAAGCTACAATTCTTATTCAGGTAGTTTTGGCTCCAGAGTCTAAGTACTAAGGTAAGAAGTTTAAATTCAGTAAGGAACTATTACATGCCTACCCTTAACAGAAAAGATAGATTCTAATTTCAGCTTTCGTGCTTGCTAGTCAGATAGAGAACCTTAACACACATAACACAATCAGCCAGTGGAGAGGGAGTTAAGACAGGTAGATACAAGCCATGCAGAACACACCATAAGTTAGCTGGTGAATTTCTGTGGATGTGGGTTAGTTGGTTGGTTAGTTTGAGACAGGGTCTTGCTATGTAGTCCAGGATGGCAGTGAACTCGAGGTCTGGAATTGGTGGTGATCCTCTTGCCTCAGCCTCCCAAGTGCTGAGATTACAGGCACATGCCACCGCTCCAAGCTATGTGGATGTGTTTTAAATAGTACACTAATAACAACAACAAAAAAAATTACGGTTGTTGGCAAAGCACTTTGGTCCACTAAGCAGACTTAAAAAAAAATTTTATTACAGACTTCTGATTGCCATGGAGTTTGGTGTAGCAAAATTTTAACCACACTTTCTGCAATGTGTAAGATGATATAAATCATTTACTTTTGCAGTACCCTCCTCAATTCATGCCAGATTACAATAAACATTATACACCTACATAACAAAATGCTCAGCGTCTCCCAATTTACTGAGGTACGAAATTAACTGAGCAGCATCTTTATTTTTTGTAACCTGAATATACTAAATCACATATTTTTAATTCATGCTGACACATAATTTGAACTAGAAAATATCCACATGGGCATAAAAAGAAGTGTTATAATCTTTTAGATATGCCAAATGTTCTGAAATTCAATTTATAGATGATTTCTAATTTTTCTTTTTTGTCTTTCTGAGACAGGGTCTCCTATGTACTTCAAGCTGGCCTTGAACTCACTTTGTAGCCCAAGCTGGCCTCGAACTGGAAGGGATCCTCCTGCCTCAGCCTCCCAAACACTGGCATTACAGACATGCACCACCACACACGGCTCTCTCATTAATGTTTCAGTCTGTGGACAAATGAGAAAAAAAAGTAAAGGAGGCAAAAAAAAAAAAAAAAGAAAGAAAGAAAGAAATTCACTTCTCCAAATTCAGACTCTGTAAAATAGAGTGCATGAGGAAAACAAGAGTAAAATAATAAACATATATGAAGCCCAATGAAACAATCTGCCACACGGTTTTCTTTCTTCTTTTTTTTTTAAATGTTTTCACACTGGTCTGTCATTACTGGCTCAACACTAAGCACCATAAAAGGTTAAAATTTAAGGTTTGCATTCCATCCACTACGGATCCTTCTAACGTTTCTATTGGTTTGAAACAGTACAACTACTTTGAATTGTTTTTGGCCTGTGTCAATACTTACAACATTCTATAATTATTTTACTTATAGTAAAGTCACGCAACTGCTAATCGCTGGCCGGGTGTGGTAGCCCACGCCTGTAATCCCAGCACTTGGCAGGCGGAGGCAGGAGGATCGTTGAGAGTTCGAGACCAGCCTGGGTATAAAGGGAGCTCAAGGCCAGCCTGAACTGCATAGGGAGACCCTGTCTCAAAAATAAACAAACAAACAAAAGCCTGCTAATCGCTATACAGCAACAAAAGCACAATACAAATTCACCCTTAAAATCTAAACACTTGTCCTGCAAATATAATACCCGCTTGTTTTCAGATATTATTAAAAAAAAAAAAAAAAAAAAACTAGTGCGACGAGCATGGTGGCACAGGTCTGTAACCCCAGTACTTGGGAAGCTGAGGCAGGAGAGTCTCTGTGAGTTCGAGGTCAACTTGGGGGATATAGCGAGGCCGGCCTGAACTGCAAGAGAGACTGGTGTCTAAATAAGCAGACTAGAAAGGTCAGCTGTCTGTTAACCAGATTAATTAAAATCGCCGGTCCCCACTGCATACTGCAAAAAGCTACGTCTGTCGCCCCTCCTCCCCAAGGATGGAACCCGGAAGACTGAGGGTGGCAGCCGACCGCGCCGGCGGACAGGAAGGGCGCGCTCCGCGCAGAACCCACCGTCCGGAGACCTCAGCTCCGCGGAGGGCTGGAGACGAACGCGCGGGGCTCGGGCTTCGGCAGGGGCGCGGCGAGCCTGGCCCGGGGCACCCGCCGCGCACCGACGCGCTGGGAGAGGGCGCGCTTCGGGCGGGGCCGGCGGGGCCGGTGCTCACCGCGGCGTAGAGTCGGGCGGCAGCCGCGGGTCACTCCATTGCCCAGCCCGGGCCGAGCAGCCGGGGCTACGCTCGCTCCTCGGCGGGACGCGCGGTGCAAAGGGACAGTCTTACGCGCGCGCTCGCGCTGAGCCTTCGCAGGGGAGCGGCCGCCCACGCGCTGCACGTGGCGGCCCTGCGCCGCGCCCCCCTTCGACCCCGACTCCGACCCCGACCCCGACCCCGACCCCAACCGGGCGCATGCGCAGGACTCCCCGCACCCCACCCCGTGCTGCCCTCAACTGGGGACGCGGGACGTGGCGGGGAGCCGTGTGATGGGGCTGGGCTTTTGCTGGGTCCCTGGCTCAGGCACCCAAGATCTAGGGGCATCTGGCCCAAAATATTATGAGTTATCTCCAAATCAGGTTGGGTTTTTTCTTTTCATTCTTTTTTTTTTTGCATTTGCCTTCCCTCATCAGTTTAAACCGCGCTCGACCCAAAGTAGACTCTAGATGTAGCACAAATTTGTTTCCTTCCCTTTCCTGCCCAGTTTAAACTTTGTGTGTCTGTGTGTGTGTGTGTGTGTGTGTGTGAGAGAGAGAGAGAGAGAGAGAGAGAGAGAGAGAGAGAGAGAGAGTGAGTGAGAGAGAGACAAGGTCTCGCTATGCAGTTCAGGCTGGCCTTGAGCTCACTTTGTAGCCCAGGCTGGTCTCGAACTCACAACAATCTTCCTGCCTCAGCCTCCCTAGTGCTGGGATTACAGGCATGCGCCACCACGCCAGGCTCCTTTTCATTTTACACATTGTTTCCAAGCCAGTGTTTCCTACTGGAACCTCAAAGTAGGTTAATTATCAAAGCTTTCAGTGCCTCCCTCCGTTGTCTATAGCTCAATCTCCATTTTTGGAGTTTTTCTTTCACTTTGCTAATACCTCACATACCAGTGAAACTAGTATGTTTCACTTGTCTAGTATTTTCTAATCTCCACACCTTTCGTTGCCCTCCATTTTCTAATCTCTACCCTCCAATCTATAAATTTATAAAAAATTGTTCTCCCAGTACCCTAACTTTTGGAGACAAATCTTTTTTTGTTTGTTTGTTTTGGTACCAGGAACTGAACTCAAGACCTCACACTTGCCATGCAGGCACTGTGCGGCTCAGCTAAAGCCCTGGCCCTCATTCCTCTAGCTTTTTAAATCTTTCATCTCACATGGCATGCCTTTCATAAAGTTTTCCCAATGCGTTTTGATTGCTCCCTTCTACGAATTTACATAGCACGTTGTCTTTCATGTCCTTCCTTTATCCTGGTTTATGTCTCATACGTGGTATGTTACTGGACAACAATGGTTCTCAGTTGCTGTACTTTTGTCTCACCTAGAGAGCTTCAAAAACAACTGATACCTGAGCCAATTCTCCATAAATTCTGACTCAACTAGAGTTGCGTGAAGACTGTGTAATGTGCAGCCAGAACTGAGAATTGAGAACCACTGGTTCAAGGCATTTTCATCGTAATCCTAATATACTACCTTTCTTTCTTAGGACGGAGATATCTATATATCTATATCTATATAGTGTTTGAAGTACATAATGATTACATTCATTGTAGGCAGCTGGTGCACATACGTAACTTTTTTTTTTTTTTGCAGTAGGGTCTCGCTATGTCGTTCAGGCTGGCCTTGAACTCACCATGTAATCCAGGCAGGCCTCAAACTTGTGCCTCAGCCTCCCAAGTGCTGGGATTGCAGGCATGCACCATCATGCCCAGCTCCCATTTTAATTCTTTTTACTCCCTCTATCCCTCCCTTTAGGTTGAATTTACATGAGGCACAAAGCCAAAAAACCCTCTCAACACCAAGATGAAATTTGGAACCCTGGGCAGAGAGCCACCCACTGCTGATGAGACAACAAATAGTGAATGTTATCTAGAGTTGGTGCTTCTTAACTGCTGCGTCAGCACACAAACATCCTTACGCGAGTCATAATCGAAAAGATGACAACTGCTGTGCCGTCCAGTGTGTGCCTCTCCTTTCATCCCACCTCTGCTTGTTTGAGTGTTTGGCTGTGTGCTCTCTAAGTCACCTTTTCACTGCTGTCCTCTGTGCCCCACCTTTCCGCTCCCCTTTCTTCTCTGTCCCTTCACTGAGCACTTTCTACCTCCTCACCTGATAACCATGCCTTCAGCAGCGACAGCACTTTCTATTCTGCATACCCCTCTCCCGCTTGTAAGAGTAGGGGGCAGAACATTAGCCTTCTTTCCCCTTCTACTGCCTGTTCCAAATCATCCCATTTCACCTTGGTTTACAGAAAGGGTAATTCTTTACTAATTCCTACAAGTTCTATCAGTCACTCCTTAGTTTCCTCTTGGCCATTATCCTTCATCCGTTTGCCAAGTGGCAACAATCCTCTTTTCCACGTCAGCTCCTAGTGAACCGCTCATTCTGTTATCTACGTGGATGATTCAGAGACCAAGCTTCCTAGTTTCTTGGCCCCATATACAGATACTTTCACATTTCTAACCGTGTTAGCCAACCCAGTCCATGACCAAATCTTGAATCATCAAGACCTCTCTCTCTTAAATCATGTTATCCAGAAATCTACTACCTTATTTTTAGATAGAAGAGTTTTACCAGTATCCTTTTCAAGGCAACTTGTTAGAGAGGGCACAATACAGCCATTGTTGAATATAACATCCCAGTTTGTGGGTTCGTAGCCTCTCAGGGTAGCATCAAGAAGAGTCCTTTTGCAGTTCCACTGAGGGTCCAGCATCTTGTCTCTAGCATTAAGCCAAAAGGTTTTGTTTTTTGTTTTCATTCTATTGTGTTTTTTTTTTGTTACACAGTCTTGTTATGTTGCCCACTCTGGCCTCAAACTCAGGATCATCTCATTGATCCTCTTGAGTTACTGGGATTACAGGTGTGTGCCACTGTAGCTGGTTGAGTTTGTATTCTTATGTGGTTGTTCACATGTACATTTATAAGTTCTCACAATAATGACTCCAACCAGATTCCTTCTGGGGCAATCACATTCTAATGACAATCCATCTTTTTTTCCACAAACATTTGTTAATTCTTTCATAAATACAGTTCACTCTTCAAGACGCGAATGGTAATCTAAGATAGCTCACTTGCTCTCCTATTCTCAGTACATCTATTGTTCACTGCTTCTATCTTGCCATTTTCTCCTTATCTATACGCCATTCACTCCACTTTTTTTTTTTTTTTTTTTTTTTTTGTCTTTTTGAGACAGGGTCTCGCTATGCAGTGCAGGCTGGCCTTGAGCTCACTTTGCAGCCCAGGCTGGTCTCAAACTCACAATGATCCTTCTGCCTCAGCCTGCCGAGTACTGGGATTACAGGCGTGCGCCGCCACACCTGGCTTCACTCTTTTTCTTCTTTCTTCCTGTTTCAAAAGATGCAATTGCCACTGTCCTATGCAGAGATAATTCTTCCATCTGTGCTTAGTGGGGAATATAGCTCTGCTGTCTTTGTGTATTTCAGTCCTCTTTCTCTACTCTTGCTTCTCTTCTGAGTTACTACAACCATTTAATCATAACTGTTACTGAGCACATACTCAGTACCAGACACTATGTGATGTAGCATCTTACTTAATCCTCATAAACCCTGTAAAAAATACTGTTGTCCCTTTTTACAAATGAGAAAACTGAAGTTTAAGAAAAAGTAAATTTGAGCTGAGAATGGTGATGCACATCTGTAATCCCAAGTACTCACAAGGCTGAGGCAGGATTATCAATTCCAGGCCAGCTGGGCAACCTAGTGAGACCCTGTCTCAAAATAGAAAGGGGTGTAGTTCAGTACTCCCTCTGTTCAATCCTCAGTGCTAAAAAAAAAGAAAAAGAAATTTGCACCAAGTTGCAAAGCTAAAAAGGCTATTTCACCAAAGTCCATCCATTTTATCACTTTGCTAAACTGACACTTTGAACAAACATGTGGTTCCCACGGATCTTTGCACAGCCACTGTCAATTCATTTTCCGCAGGGCTGCCAAGAGAATCTATGTTAATTTTTACCCAGATTTAGTAGCTTACACAACACAAAACAACTCACATTTATTACCTTTCAGTTCTGGATGTCAGAAGTAGGAAATGTGTCTGCAGGCAACGTTCTTTTTGGAGGCTCTCAGGGGGAAACTGTTGCCTTGCCTTTTCTAGCTTTTCCAAGCCACCTGTATTCCTAAGGTTGTGATCCTTTCCTCCATCTTCAAAGCCAATGACATGGATCTTCCCTGCTTTCTGACCTCTGCTATGCTACCTAGCATAACTCTAACTCTCCTATGCTACGTCCCTCTTCTAAGGACCCTGGAGATTTCACTGGATCCACCAAGACTGTGTGGGATAATCTCACCATGAAATACTCAATCACAATGGTAAATCCCTTTCTGCTACATAAGGTGACACATTCACAGATTCCACACCTTGCATGTGGCTTTTGGGGAATGGCATGATTCATGATCTTTATAAAATAAAAATCTAATAATACTTTAGTATTATTAGATCATACTTTTCATAATAAATAGTAGTCCTTTTATGATAAAGAATACTCAACAAATGTTAGCTACTATAATTTTCTTACAGTTCACAGTCCCTTATCTGAAACACTTGGGAACAAGTATGTTTCAAAATTCATAATACAGACTGGCACATAGCTGAGTGTTTTGTTTTGTTTTGTTTTGCTTTGTTTTTGAGAAAGGGCCTCACTATGTAGTCTAACCTGGCCTTGAACTTACTACATAGCCCAGGATGGCCTTGAATTGGCAGCAACCCCCCTGCCTCAGCCTCTGGAGCACTGGGATTATAGGCATGCACCACCACATCTGGTTGAGTGTAGTTTATGTAGTAATAGAGTATTTGCTTGGGATGTACAAGGTCCTGGGTTTGGTTACCAGCACTGCAACACAAAAACAAACCACACATATTTTTTAAAAAAGACAAAAAAAAAAGCTATAATCCCAGCACTCAGGAGGGTGAAGCAGGATGATCACAGTGAATTCAAGGCCAGCCTAGGCTATGTAGGGAGTTTAAGCCCAGCCTAAACTACATAGCAAGAGCACAAAAATGAGAATATTTTGGATTTAGGGAAGTAAATGCATATACTGCTACACTGCATGAAACCCTCAATAGGGTCTGGAGGATCATCCTGTAACCCAATACATTAGTATTTCTCCAGTAAAATATATGGCTATTTATAATAAGTGGATATTTACATCAGTGTTGGTCACATTTGCCCACCAAATAAGTTATTTTTAACACCTTCAATATTCAGAGACTTTGATTTTTGAAGTTTTTCAGAGCATGTATGATTTTGGAAATTGCATGTAACTGTTGTGCAGCTAAAATAAAAAGATAAGATTAAAATAGAATTTGAAAATCCTGAAGATCATTTAGAAAGCAAGCTTTTTAATTTAATTGCATTTCCACTTTGGCAAAGTTTTAATTTTTCTTCTTGAAAATTGCAAAACTGAAGCAACCAATCATTGATGAGGGAAATTTATTTTCATAGATGTTCCAGCTAATAAAATGAAGAAAGAATGATAAAGCATCACCATTTTGCAAGGCCTAACAAAAATCATGAATCTAGGTAATCAAGAGCTTGTGTATTATTTAAAAAGACACAACAAAGTCGGGCATGATGGCACATACCTTTAAAACCAGCATTCAGGAGGCTGAGTTAGGTTTGCCAGTTCAAGTCCAGCCTGGGCTACATAGCAAGGACCCATCTTTAAAAATAAGTACATGAATAACAGACATAACTAGATATTTTGTACCTTCGTACTGAAGTGTCCAACTCACTTATGAAGTAGTATTCCAAAAAAAAAAAAAAACTTTAAGCCTGAATCTGAACAGGCTTCTAGACCAGTTCATAGGAAATACTGGGAACAAAGAACACATGATAGATACGTCACAAATCTAGAAAAGTAAAACAGCTCAGGGTAAAGATCCAGTTCCTAGGGGCTGGGGATTTAGCTCAGCGGCAAAAGCGCCTGCCTGGCAAGCGCAAGGTCGTGAGTTAGGTTCCTGGTACCGGAGAAAAACAAACAAAAAAAGATCCAGTTCTTTCAACATATACAATACAAGGTAGAAAGGAAAACAGAAAAGCCTATAGATTAAAATAAACAAAAAATATAAGAACAAATTGCCATGTATGGACCTTATTGAAGTCCGGATGTAACAAACTGCTAAGACAGAAGTAATGAGGGAATGGAAGAAAGGGAAGGGAAAGGAACACAAAGAACGAAGGAAAGGGAAGCAGGTACAAAGAAACTAAGAAAACACGATTAGGAAAAATTGAGTGCTGACTGAATCTTTGATAATTTTAAGAAAGTCAATCTTTAGGGGCGTTAATATTTTTAAAACTTTATTTTTTGGAGATACTAAAATATCTACAGGTGAAAAGCTATGATGCTCTGTATTTGCTTCAAAATAAATCAGTTGAGATTGGGGAAAGGAAAAGCAGGAGGGCAGGTAAAACAGTTGACAGCTGATGAGGTTGGTTCGTGGGCATATGACTCATACATTTCTATTTTTTAATATGCTGGAAATTTTCATGCTAATGGAAAAAACGACATTTTTCTCAGTATAAACTACTTTGGATCTAAATTGTGAAATGTTTTAGTGCTTATGAAGGATATTTGGAAACTATTGTCAGGAAAAAAAAGATGCAAAACTTGAACTTAATGAAATGAAAATTTGAATATGTACAACCTAAAAACTTAAGGAAATGATCTAAGAAATATATGTAGCATAGTATTTAGAGTGACAGGTGGAGATAAAATTATAGAAAAAAACATTAAATAGGCTGATTTTCACCTAGGCTAATGCTAGTTTAAGGGGAGCAGGGAAAGCTTTCGGGATCAGTTAATCTTTCACCTGGTTTTGTTTTTTAAAGAGTAAAAAGACAGTTTGACTCTTTTAATTGTCCTGGACTCTGAAAATTATTTGAGAAGGATCTAGTTTCAATAAGGCCACGAGGTGGCGTACTCCTTAGTATTTTTTTTTTTTTTTTTTACGGTAAAAAATATTTGAGAACCAGTACGAATACATGAAAATTAAAAATGCTGTCATTTCATCCTTCATATTCTGTTTCTCTCTGGGAAAATAGTTTAAGAGAATATAACAGAATAATCTGTGCTTTTCCAGTTCTTTTCCTCTTTAGTGAGAGTTTGAATTTTGCATTAAATTACTGAGTAACAACGGGTTTTATTTTCTCTACAATTATATTTGATCGTCCCATTACTAGTTTTCACATGGTGGGATCTCAAGGTGTGGACTATATTCCACTGAATATTCAAAGTAAGGCAATGTTTTATTTTCCGACAATTGTTCGATTTTTTTGTTTATTTAACTGGTGGTTTAAAAGCTCTGAACGTTAGTCGAGCCCCTACCTTCCATATGTGCGTGTAACATTAACTATAAAATTCACTAACTTGAGATAGTCACCTGTCTTTTAGATCCTGTTATGACTTTTAAAATATAAATTTATAGTTTCCGTCAGTCATTTGGGTATTTTCTCAAGCCATGGCAGCCGATGAGTCAGCAATTAAAATCCGTAGCCTCCTAAACTTCCGGATGGTGAAAAACTGGCTCCCATTTCCAAACAAATGAAGGGTGGAGGAAGAGCCGGGTGCACGCTTTGCCCCGGAAGGAGTGACCCCGGAAGTGGAAGTGGCCGCGGGTGGGCCGGGCTGAAGTGTAGCGAGCCGAGGAAAGTTCGGACCTCAGTGAGAAAAGCTAACGTCCTTTCTTCTTTTCCTTAGGTATTCACAATTCTTTCTTAAATCTTAAAAGAGCTGTTATTTTCCCCATTTTACCCTCCGCGTTGTCTCCTTGTGGAATGGCTCTGTGAGTTACTCCGTGTAATTTGCACGAGCTGCTTTTGCTGCGGCTTGCTGTGACTTCTGACGTGCAAGCGCTGAGAATTGCTTTTAAGATAGCATAACGTACTGTTATTATCATGGAAGCTGGAGAAGTCTTGCTCTTCGTAGATGTAGATAATCCTAGAGAGTAAACATCTTGGTTTTTGCCCTTAAAATTAAGCTCCATGACCTTGAGTATTATTCTGCTGTTCTTAAATTGGAAATCATTAGCTAGAAAAATTGTAACAGAAATGTCATTCTTTTTTTCTGTTCACTATGACGTGGGTACGCCTCTTTTGATGTGCTTGGGATGAGATGTAAAGATGAACAGAGACTTCTGCTAAGTATGTGGCTGCTGGATTTTGATGCATTCTTCCACAGCCCATTTCCAAATATGATATGGTATGTTAAATCGGTCGGTACAAGCCTGCAAACGTTGACTATTTAACAGACCATTTCAGTATTTTATTTCCTAAGTGATAGTGCTAAATTAGCAGATTTAGAGAGAACAAATGAAAGCTCATATGAAATGTACGTCCTACCTGAAGATAGTAAAGGGTGGTTATTTCAACTTTGAATCTCAGAATTTTAGAAGCAAAGTAGTTTTCTTGGAACATTTTATATTTTCCCTTTTTGATTCAGTAAAGCCATTGTGTACTTTTCTTAGCTTTTGATTATCTCTGTGAAGAGAACAGGTAACTTTGTACACAGCTAATTTCAACTAATCTGTAATTTTTAAAGTAACCTTTTTCAAAAATTATGAAAGCAGTATGTGCTGTTTGTGTATAAGTCTTGGAAAAGTAGAAAAACTATAAATCCCACAAATAGAGGTCATTTATCAATATTTTGGCATGTTCATTTTTAGTTTTCTTTTGGGAAATACTGTACATACTTTCCATATATTGTAAAATTTTTGGAAAAAATAATTGAAATTTTACTGTTTTATATTTTTTTAAACTTAATACTGTATAATTATGATTGTCCTTTTTTTTTTTTTTTTTTTTTTTTTGGTTTTTCTCCGGTACCAGGAACCAAACGCACGACCTTGCGCTTGCCAGGCAGGCACTTTTGCCACTGAGCTAAATCCCCAGCCCCAATTGTCCTTTTTTCACCAGGCCTACTTTCTCGTGGTAGTAGTGGAATTTTTCTTCTTTTAGGATCTCAGACAAAAGTGAAGAACCTTTGAACGGATTTTTTTTTGCAGAATTGAGAATGAAAAGCACTGATCTTTGGATAGGCAACCTGCATTCTAACACCAGCTCTGCCTTTCTCCATTATGAAGACACTTAAGTTACCTGACTTCCTTCAACATCTAGATACCTAAAATAAAAGAAATAAAGAAGATAATAGTCAATATCTCCTTCAAACTTTAGAAATTTGTAACTGTGAACCAACTAAAGTCTGAACAATTATTTATGTCTTTCAAATATTTGTACACTTAGTTCTAGATTCTGGGTACTTTCCAGAAAATAGTTGATTTAACCCATTCCATTAATATTTTTCAAATTATTCTCCTATTCTTTTGCTCTTGCTAATTATGTGTTTTACATGCTATTTTAATTTATTTTAATATATCATTTTTCAGAGATTTGAAAAATTCTGTGGATTATTGAATTTTGGGACTGTTTGGAGCTGGCTAATGTAGTGAACTAAACAAGCTTTCTTTGAAGCTACTTCTAGCTTTATTATACCATGTGTCTTTAAAGTCAGTTTTTTTTTCAGATTGTCTTTGTTCTATTTCAGATGTGGAGATGAATCACCACCTATGTGTTTGGCTTTTTAGACATCCGTCCCTGAATGCTCATCCCCGGTGTCACGTCTATGTCCATTCTCATCAATTTAAACAGCTACATCTTAAAACTAGGCTGTGGGTTCTTGGACAAAATGGGAATCACATTTTCCATTATATTTTAAATAAGAATTGGTCCAAGAGACACTGTCATCAAGATACCAGGATGATCTGGAAGCATAAAGCATTTCAGAAATATATGGAAGACCTAAGTAAAGAGTACCAAACACTTGGTCAGTGTCTGCAGGATGTCCCTGGGAATGAAGTGGACCGAAGGTGCATGACCCGAAGGCATGCTGAGTTGGCACCACTTGCAGCCATTTATCAAGAAATTCAGAAAGCTGAACAAGCAGTTAAAGAATTAGAATCATTGTGCAAAAGTAGGTAAAAGATTGTGTGTGACTTTATAAGTTAAAGCTTTATTGAACTCTTGTCTTTTAAAAAACCTTCAGGTAACAACCTCAACACTTAACAATAACAGGGTTGTTTTACTCGGGGTGTTTAACATATTTCAGCTACTAAAGATCAGCTCCTCAAGAGGCCAGGCTCCTTATGATACTTGCCAAAAAATTCACAGGCTTTGGAGGATTTGATATTGACCTTATCAGAAGATTTCATTTGCTGAGCAGATCTCTATTAAGCACTATACTGCATACCAAGAATACAGAAATATAGTTCCTACCCTATCAAAGGGCTTAGAGCCAAGTGAAAGAGTATGTGTGAGTATTATTTGGCTTGGGCTACTTGCTATGCTGTAGGAAGGCACAGAGTTTCCAGGGAGCAAGGGAAGCCGCCTAGGTGAGAGTGCACATGAGAGGAGGCACAAGTGAAGCTTTATACTGCATGTGGTATATCCTTTTTTTCAAGAAGAGAGGATTATGTATCTCACAATTTGGGGGACCACAAACATGACCCCTGTATCTCTTTGGCTCTGTTGAGGGCTTTAGAGCAGATGGTGTCACATGGTAGAAGTTCATGTGGTAGATCTTAAAGTTATTCTTTAATACTTCTTTTAATTTTAGTTTTAGATTATTTGGAATTTGTATTCTTGTGAACTTTTTTTTCTTCTCAGTATTGGATATTGAACTGAGGGCCTTTTACATGTTAGGCAAGTATTCTACCACTGACCTAAATGCCCAGCTCTTGGAATTTGTATGTTTATTGCCTTGAAGACAGTTGACAGATTTCTTAGAACCCATGGAATTATTTTAGTTACTATGATCAAATAAGAAGCCTGTCTTTACTATTACTTTAAGGCCTGAACAAAGCATCTGCACTTAGACAAGGGCCTCATTCTTCAGAAGTTTACATATTATCAAGGAATATTCAATAATTTTCATATCTATAATCTTCTAAAATCTGGTCAGGCACAGTGGTAGACACCTATAATTCCAGCACCAAGGGAGGCTGAGGCAGGAGAATCACAAGTTTTAGCAAGACCTTCTTCCAAAGTAGAAAATGAAAAAGGCTGGAATATAGCTAAGTAGTAGAGTGCCCCTGGCACAATCCTGAGTACCATGCCAAAAACTGTGTATCTATATCTATTCATCTATCTATCTATCTATGTATATATATATATATATATATATATATATATAAAAATTGCCAGCCTAGGAGTTCAAAATGGAAGGATCTAAAATACAGTTTTTGGTTTTTATTTATTTATTTATTTATTTTGGTACTGGGAATTGAACTCAGGACCTTGCGCTTGCCAGGCAGGTGCTGTGCCACGAAGCTATATCCCCCGCCCTATTTATTTATTTATTTATGTATTTATTTATCTTTTTTAGACAGGGTCTCACTGTGCAGTTCAGGCTGGCCTCGAGCACACTTTGTAGCCCAGGCTGGCCTCGAATTTGCAAGATCCTCCTGCCTCAGCCTCCCACATGCTGGATTACAAGCATGTGCCACCATGCAGGGCTTAAAATACAGTTTTTAGATATGAGAAGTCTAATTGAAGGGACTTACTCTAAAAATTTGGTACAGTTAGCTCAGCCATTCATTCATTCATTCATTCAACATTCAGAGGATTTACTATAAACCAGGCATTGTATAGGAAACAAGGCGAAAAAGATGAGCAAACCTTGAGCTTACCATCTAATTTGGGGGATATACCAGATATAAGTGAAAGGCAATGTGACAAATGCGGGATATAGAACAGAAACCATGCACTCGAAGTGACTCAGAGGGAGTAATGAATTCTGTCGGAGATGGTTGGAATAGACTTTGAAGAATAATTTTCTGTATTAGAAAAACTAGGAAGGACATTCCAGATAGAGGGAACAATATGAGCTAAGCTAAGAATATGTAACATTTTCAGCATGTAGTTTATAGCGTAGAGTGACAGTGTCACAGCCTAACATATTGTGACGGGTCTTCAGTGCCCTGCAAAGGAGGTTCTGGATCCATAGTTTTCTGGGTTTTGGTGTCATATCAAAGAAACTCTTGCCATACAAGGTCACTAAAGGTTCACACTTACTTTTCTTACGAGTGTTCTGTATTTTTAGTCCTCACATTGAAGTCCTTTGTATATGGTGTGTGTGTTTGTTTATTTATTTATTTATTTATTTTGGTCCCTGGGAATTGAACTCAGGACCTTGTGCTTGCCAGGAAGGCACTTGTGCCACTGAGCTCTATCCCCAGCCCAGTATGTTCATTTTTATGAGGTAATTTTATGATAATTTTTAAAATTAAGTTTATTGGCACATTTTAGGTGTACATAATGATCATATTCATCATAAGGAATTTGTACTTGTGCATGATATAACTTGATTCTTTTTTCCCATTCCCCTCTACTCCCTTCAACCCCTCTTCCCCTCCTTATTTGCAAAACCTTTGTTTCCATTTTTTCCTACTTTTTTCATCATTTTTTTCTTTTCCCTTCCTTCCCCCCACCCCACTTAGTTCCCCTTCCCATTTGAACATTTTCCTCCTGTTTCACAATGTCTCTTGTACATTTTGGTCCTATTCACACTTTTGGTCTCTCACAACAGAGAAACCATGCTGTATTTACACGTGTGTCTGATTTATTTCACTTAAGAGTATGGTCTCAAGATACATCTGTTTAGCTTGTTTTATGGTAATTTTTAATTTCAGTTGTTTCTTGATTTAATTTTTCTCTTTAAAAAATCTTCAAAATATACAGAGATTGAGAGACAAATATTGTAGACTAAGCCAGGATTGAACACTCAGACAGATTTTGCTGTTGACTTTTAGTTTCTATACTTTGTTCCATCCTGTGTGATTAAACCTTAGAAGTGTGAAGTGATGTCAAGGCTGAGTCATAAGTGTCCCTGTAAAGTCCTGGATGTCCAAAGCCTTACCTGTTCCTGTTTTCTGTTAGGTACCACAGGTTTCTCCTGTGAGCTTATAGAAGGTAGTGTTTACTGTTGTGTAATGCCACTTAAAGTTTATTTTTGAGAGAGTTGCATATATGTATGAGGAGCTTACAAACTGCTTTCTAGTTAAGTTGACATGACCTCTTTCAGCCTTGGTTGTATCGTATGTATTGGTTAGATTAGATCATTTCGAGAAGTTCTATTAGCACTACAATTCTGTTTTTCTGTAACAATTATGGTAATAGCTATATTTATTAAGTCTTACTACATGCCAGACTTTAAGCCGAATACTTTGTAAATATTCTCTCCTTTGAATGATCATAGTGAATTTATGAAGTAGGAATTATTACTGTTGTCCCCACTTTACAGATGAAGAAGCTAAGAGATTAAATTACCAAAGGTTATTAAGCCTGAGCAATGAGAGTCCAAAGTCTCTGCTCTTACCCACTACATGATGATTCAAGTCCGGTGGGTCTGCTTGCGTAGTGTATCTTGCATGAGTCCCTGCTATTCTTTCCACTACTGTTTTTGTTTTTTTGTTTTTTTTTTTTTTGAGAGCCATAAAGAGGCGAATTAGGCAGAATTGAAAGTACACACTCAAAGAAACAGTGTGGGCTCTCAGGGAAAGGCACATTATAGTCTGGAGCTAGGATTTTTTTTTGGAGGGAGTGGAAACCGGTGAAATTTGTGAATTAGCAGGAAATGTCATCTTTGTTTACTGGGGGAAAGCAGCCTGCTATTTTTTGCTTGTTTTGTTTAGACAGGTGATCTCAGATGTTTAGGATAGGCAGTCTCAGATGTTTAGGATAGGTGATCTCAGATGTTTAGGATAGGTGATCACAGATGTTTTGCCTGCAAACATTCTTTGTAACCCTTGACTGTGTCTCTCTAAAGGTCAGGCTTCTGCCTTTACCTTACCAACTTATTTTGGATTTAAAGTATCTATAAGGAGTTTCAGTTGTGTGTGTGGGCATGGCAGAAAGAACTATAAACAAGCCTAGGGGGTCCAGATGTGGATAACCTGGGGTAACTTTGTGTCCCCCCAGTCTTCTTAAAAGTACAGAATTTAAATTATGGCATTCTTTGTCTGTTTTTCTACTTGTCTTTTTTGTTTGGATTTAAACCGTGGCCCCTGCCCTTATTCCTGAGGGATGCAGCGGGGCTAAAGGTCCATATTGTCGATGCTTCCGGCTGAGGAGAGGCATTGCCCCTGCCCTGCCAGGGACTGAAAGGCCTGTCCTGACTAATGTGAAGGAGACATAGGAATACAGACTTCTGTTCTTTGAAGGGCCATTATATTTTGATAGTCCCTTTTATTTATCCAGATCAGTATTAGGAGCCAGTGTTACATTCTGTCTATTCTATAGGTGATGGCCTGCCCTCTTAACATACCTTTTAGGTTGTCTGTTAGAAGTCATATTTTAAAGTCATAGTCTTGGGCCAGGGAGATAGCTCAGTGGCACGGTATCTGCCTGGCCAGTGCAAGGTCCTAAGTTTGATTCCTGGTACCAAAAAAAAAAGTAAAGTCAGTCTTGATGCCTCTTTACCTCCCAGAGCTAGCTAGCCAAAGGGAAGATCGCCGTACAGAGTCTGAAGACATTCCCCATAATGGAGATGGGGAACCTGGACTTACCTCATCCTTGGGGCGAGCTTTGGGTTCACTGACTTCTGACACAAAAAAAGAATTTTCAGAACATGTCAGTGAGAGGCATAAAGAAGTTTATTAGACACAATTGCAAATATACAATAAAAAAATATATATACATTGTGGGTCCTCAAGAGAGAGGTACTCCACTAATTTGTATCTTTCTTGCATTTCTAACCTAGATGATCACAATCAATTCCTAACTTCTAATCTCATTCCAGGCTTTCTAGACCAGTCTTTTTTTTTTGTTTTGCTTTGTTTCGTTTTGTTTTTTGAGATGAGATTTCAAGAAGTAGTTCAGGCTTGTCTTAAACTCACTATGTAGGGCAAGCTGACCTTGAACTTGTGGTGATCCTCCTACCTCAGCCTCCCCAGTGCCGGGACCATAGGTATGTACCACCGTGCCTGGCTTAGGCCAGGTACAGTCTTAATTAGATGACCTAAAAAACTTAGGTAGGGCTGGGGATTTAGCTCAGCGGCAAAAGCGCCTGCCTGGCATGCGCAAGGTCGTGAGTTCGGTTCCCGGTACCGGAGAAAAAACAAAAAAAAAAAAAAAAAAAAAAACTTAGGTAGCTCCCATTGCCTATAGAAATCTTTGTGTTTGACATTAAAAACCTCTGAGTGACTAACCTCTTTGTACAGTATATTCTCTTTGCATGTCTTCTAGTCAAAATGGACAACTTACACTTCCCTGAACGTGTCCACTCCTTCCCATCTGAGTTTTTGTTCACCAGTTTCACCTTGTTAAAAGTCAGTACCCTTACAAAATTTGGCTTATATATTGTCCTTTGGCTTCAGTCTCTTTCTTAAAACAAGTATAGTTACTTTTCTGTGTTTTGTGTTATAATCCTTTGGGTGATTGTCTTAACCTCTGCCTGTAACCTCACTGTCTGTTCCTCAAAGACAAGACCTAAGTCTTATTCATTTTTATATCTCCTGCAGCACTAACATAGGATATAATAGACTTTCATATCTTTATTTAATGTAATAAAATGGAACTAACTCGGATTCCACAGTAAATAATAAGAGGCCACAAAAATAACTTCAAATGATTGCAAAAGAGGTTTTTCTGATACCACTGAACTAGGAGTTATCTGTGGAGTGATGCCAGCCTGTTTCCATTTGTGGCATAGATGCAGATGAGGTCCCAGTGGTGATGTTACAGTTGTGCAGCAGATAATCCTTAATTACAGTTAGTGTAGATGGCACCCTAGTTGGAAACCATGCCCAAAGCTCTAAAGTCTGAGTTAGGCCCCTCATTGGTGCCCCTTGACACACTGGCCCGCCCCAATCATATGTTGTGATTAAGTGTATGTGCCCATCTTTTCTAGAGCCACAGGAGGCCTGCAACCACATTTTATTAATCATTGTGTCCTCAGCAACTAGAAGAGTGTCTAGCACATAGTAAGTGTTAAATACTGTGTTAAAAGCATGAGTAAGGCACAGAATCCCACCGCACTCTAATGATTTCTCTGGTTATAGATTTTATAAAGTACTTTCTTTCCTTTGTAGCTATTATTCCTCATTGCTGTTCTCTTCCTTATAATTAAGAATCAAAAACTTTGCAGTTGTTATCACTGACACATACTAGTCATCTAAAGCAGTGGAGTCAAAGATCACCATACTTGACCACTACATCATTATCTTATTTTGCTAGAGTTCCATGATTTACTGTTATGTTTTTTAAAAGGTATGAACCAGGCAAGGTGGCACACACCTGTAGTCCCAGCACTCAGGAGGCTGAGGCAGGAGGATCACTGCAAGTTTGAGGCCAGCCTGGAATGCATAGTGAGTTCAAGGTTGGCCTGAACTATACAGCAAGACCCTATCAAAAAAGAAAAGAAAGAATGAAAGAAAGAAAGAAGGAAAGAGAGAAAGAAAAGAAAGAAAAGGACCATTGTTCCATGAAGTACAGGTTACTAATTGTATTTTGTTTGATCCACCTGGTGTTTTTAAAAATGTGCTAGATGTAAATATATCAAGTGATTTCAAGAGTTCTTTTTTCTGACTGTTTTTGAGCAAGTAGAGGTTCTAATGATGTTGGATCCATGTCACAGGGTACTGAATTGTGACTGTATCTTCAGACATGAAGTGCTCATCCCAACTTGCTTTAAAACTTACCTTATTTGGGTTTATAGCCAGTTCTTTTTAAAAACTTGCGTAGTTAATCACCATTTCTATAATCACTTACAGACATTCAAGTAACAGTCTTTTGCAGGGTCAGGGTCGTTGCTGTTTCTCATACTGAGCTGTTTGCACATACTTAACAAATACTTGTTAAGTGATGTTCTCCAAGCACTGTAATTGTTCTTTTATATTATCCCTTGCTTTCCAAACTAAAATAAAACCTGGTGGGTAAAGATGAGGTAGCTATTTAAGACTTTACCTGTAAATAATTAAAAACTGCCATTATTCCTGTTGCTGGTTTTAAGGTCTAAATGAACAAGATGAAAAGCAGTTACAAGAACTTGCATTAGAAGAAAGGAACACCATTGATCAAAAAATCAACACGCTGTACAGTGAGGTATGTTTCAGGAAGTGGACTAATCTCAGTACTGCTAATATGAAGGAATATTCTGCCTGCTAGGCTATACTTTGCTGCTCAAGTTATTTCCCAAACACTGATGTTCTCTTGTGATAAGTAATTAGTTGGGCTTTGTTCAGTAATTTGCTGCAAAATGAGATTGAAAAGCTTGCAATGTAGCCGAATAAAACAGACTCCCAGAGCAAGTAATGATAATAATAATAACAATAATAATGATAATAATAATGATTTGAAAGCTGAATCTTTTACCTTGCCAGGCAAGAAGACACATGTTGGGGAAAGACTGTAGTTACCACAGGGAAGAGTCTGGAGTTTTTCAGTGGTAGAAGGGGTTGGGATAGGTTCTTGATGATTGTGTTAACTAAGGATAGAACATTTGTACTATGGGTAGAATGGAATGAACCCAGGGATGTAGAGACAGTTAGTGCAGGTCCATAATTAGGTCAAGTAAGGCTTTGGCAAACTGGGGTTTCTCAAAGTCCATACTACTCTGTTAGTACCAGCTGGTATTTCCCAGGTAAGCAGACTTTTTCCTTCAGTAGTGATCTCTTCCTTCTGCTCAATGAGTGGCTTGTCTACAGACAGGGAAGAACGCGGTACTGTGTACTGTGTTTCCTTCTGCGTATTTGCCATCATCCTGCCTTTAACTTCCTTACAGTGGGAATCCAGGAAGGGGCTTTCTGAGGGGCAGGAGGGGTTCAGTATAGGTTATCAGTATCAAAGGTTAATCAGAGGTAAAAGTAAGATGTCTGACTCTTAATTTAATATTCTGTCCCACAGACTGTATCATTGTTAACAGAGATGGAGTATTTCAGAAATTGGCAGTAGCGAGAGTAACGACACATGAGTACTTTTAGTTTGATTTGAAAGACCTTTTAATAATAAAGAAATCACTTTTTCTAGGAGGAACATTGTTCTGTTGTTTATTAGGAATTCCTTTTTTTTGGCTGAGAAACAGCTTTTTCTTAGGAGTCCTCAACATCATCTTTAGACACAGTAACCCTGCTGAAAAGGCAGGGCGCAGCATGTCATCAACCGTCATTTGTGGCAGAGGAAAATACACAATTATATGTCAAAGGTGTTCATTTCTTTAATGAAAATTTCAAAGCTTTGCTTCATTCATTAGATGAAAGAAGCTAGTGTTCAGAACTAATTATAAGTGGCAAAATCTGAAGAAAATTGAATAGAACACTGAACTTTGATCTAAATTGCATTTTAGAAAATTAAGATAACCTCAGGCATTGTAGAAAATATCTAGACAAATAACTTCATTGTTGATGTGAGTTGATCACCTATTTTAACCTAATTAGTTCTACTTCTTATAGTATTTTAAGATTAACCTCATTGGTACAGTATGTGATTTTGTTCATTACTGATTTTTAAAAAATGTTTTCAGGGCTTTTATCTAAGTTCAAATAACAGTAACTTACCAAGGAAAATTTATACACCCTTGAGGCCATTTATTTAAGTTAAAGTAATGATAGTTTACCAAGGAAAATCTATAGACCTGTTTTTTGTTTGTTTTTTTTTCTCTTCTAGCTTTTCCAGAGTCTGTTACCAAAGGAAAAATATGACAAAAATGATGTTATTTTAGAGGTGACATCTGGAAGAACTACTGGAGGTTGGTAAAATAATTTTATTGTAACATTTAGAAGTGTGAGGCGAATGTGATAACCACTACACTACGGAATTTAGCTCAGCGGCAAAAGCGCCTGCCTGGCATGCGCAAGGTCGTGAGTTCGGTTCCCGGTACAGGAGAAAAACCAAAAAAATAATAATAGAAGTGACTCACATCTTACCTTGATTTGATTTACTGTAACTTTTTTTCTTTGGAGACAGGGTCTTTCTATGTAGTTCATGCTGGCCTGGACTCCCAGGCTGGCCTTGAACTCATGGTGATCCTCTTGCCTCAACCTCTCAAGTAGTGGGATTACAGGCGTGCGCCACCACGCCTGGCTACTGTAATTTTAAAAGTCCGTTAAATTGTTTGTCTTGGGAAGTGATCTTTTCCTAAGGGGCTTATACTCGTAGATGGCTTTTCTTTGAGATTTGTGCTGGCTGAATGTTTGATGTGTCTTTTAGGTGATATCTGCCAACAATTTACCCGAGAAATATTTGACATGTACCAGAATTATTCATGCTATAAGCACTGGAAATTTGAACTTCTGAATTATACACCAGCAGATTACGGTAGGCATATTTGATTATTTTTGTGCATAGAAGATGCTGAAAATGATTTTATCTCAATCTATATTAGAACTATGTTGCCCCATTCTTTTGTTGTTTTGCTTTTTGAGGCAAGGTTTTGCTATTCATCCCAGGCTGGCCTTAAACTCATGGTAGTCCTTTGACCTCAGCCTGCCGAGTGCTGGATCACAGACATGTGCCATCAAGCCTGGCTTCCCCGTTCTTCAAAATAAAACACTGTGACATAGGTTTATAAATATAGTGACTCAATATAGCAGAGCTCTTAACTGGAAGAGAGCACAGGAAGGAGGGACATATCCTTCTAAGAAGGAATATGTGGTATATTGAAAGTCTTTTACTCTGAAGGAACTGCATCATTTATGTAGTACAACCAGAAAATTTATCAATTAGATTAAGTAGATAATGATGTATTAGATTTATATAGGAGTGCAAAAAGGGCAGTTATTTGTCTTTATTTTCAGGAAATGTCCACTGAGATTGGGGTAATAAAATTTATACAGTATAAACACTGACAAACAGTGTAAGACCTTAAAACTTTAAACAAGCAAATCTGAGTCAGGTGCAGTAATGTGCATCTGTAATAGCACTTGCGAGGCCAAGGCTGCAGGTTTGCAATTTTAAGTTCTACCTGGGCAACTTAGCAAGACTAAACTGAGATACAAGACTGTGTCTCAAAATAAAAAATGAAAAGGGTTGTAGATGTATCTTAGTGGTATGACATACCTAGCTTTTTTCCCTAGTACCACAAAAATAAACAAACACATACATATATACATATATACTCACATATGTTAGTTCAGAATATCCCATAACAATTCTTGCATTTTCTGCATTCATTTACTCTGTCTCAAAGTTTTTGTCTGTTTGGTTATGCAGTGGTATACTGTAGTAGACAGAGGGGTTATAAATAAATAAACACAAGCTCAAACCAGGGGAAGAGTACTAATACAAATTAAACGCTGGAAGCAAGTAAAAGCCAGTATGTCGTATAAGTTGTACTTTGTACATAGTTTGAATATAGCCAGCGAACATTCATGAAGAACATCACCAGTAGGAGAGGGAAGGAACAGCCTGAACAGCAGCACGGTGGTAGGAAGCAGGTATATGGGTGGCACACGGAAGAGGCCATTTTACCGATGGCATATCTGCAATGGGATATACTGTAATAGCTGGCCTAGAGTTGAGTGGGTGGATTTTGAACAACCTTTTATTATCTTTTTGAGACAGGAAGTCATTGTGTAGTTCAAGCCGGCCTTGAACTCACTGTGTAGTCCAGGCTGGCCTCAAACTCATGGAAGTCTTCCTGATTCAGCCTTGTAAATGCTGGGATTTCAGGCATGTACCACCACACCTGGCTAAGTAACTCTGAAAATAGAATAAACCTTGACTGATAGGGCATAGGCAACTGAGGAAGTTTTATCAATATGATGATAATTTGATAAAATACACATTTTAAGAAGATTCTTGCTGGTGGTGGTGGTGCACACCTGTAATCCCAGCACTCAGAGGCGTAGGTTGGAGGTTTGCTGTGAGTTCAAAGCCAGCCTGAACTGCAGAGTGAAACCCTGTCTCAAAAAGACAAAAAAAGAAGATTCTTTTGCCAACAGTATAAAAAATGGATTGAAGAGGGTAGGTTTAAGGCAGCCTACAGAGCAGCCTTTAAAGTAATCTAGAAATGCCGAAGAGTTAGACTGAAGAGTAGGGACACATGCGAGAGGCTGTGAAAGAATACACGGGCAAACTTTGGTAACTGGGTATAAGAGGAACCGTTGCTTGTCCAATATGTTCTGTGTACAGAACCTCTTGACCCTGTGGTCCTCACAGTCCTGTGAGGTAGATATTAATCTCATTTTACAGATGCAGGTCAAGGCTCAGAGAGTAACTAATCCAGGATCACACAGTAAGTAATGGGATTCCTCTTACCACATTTCAGTCTGTATGATCCAGAGCCACTCTGCATCCCACTAATCTGTGCGGACACAGGAGGTGAGCTGTAGGGGTTCTCATCTTTTTAATGGGGGATATTGTGATACTTATTCATGTCGCTGAGTGTAATAGATGTTTGGAAGCAGAGCCCATTTGGAAAGATGGGTTTTTTGGCTTTTGATGAGAGTTTTTAGTTAAAAACTTCATTTTAACAATGAGAGCTTTTTGGTTTTTGTTTTTGTTATTGTTGTTAGTGCCGGGGGTCAAACTTAGGGTCTTGCATGTGCTACACAAGTGTTTTCCCACTGAGCTACATTCCCAGCTCCTGGTGAGTGTTGTTTGAGGGAAGTGAGATTATAGCAATTAGCATTAAGAAATAGTCAGTAAATATTGAACTTGTATAGCCCTTGTGAGAGAACAGAATTCAGGAGAGGTGTTTGGTAGATGTTAGCGCAGAGTTGATGTCTGATTCTGAGAGAATACGTAAGGGGAGTGTATAGAGAGGGAAACTGAGACACCAAGCCTCGGGAAATGGCCATATTTAGAAAGAGAATAGTTGGCAAAAGAAAGAAAATTCATATATGCAGGAAAAGGATAAGAACAATACAGTATTATGGAAGCAAAAGTGGAGAAAGTTTCCAGGAAACAGCAGTATTCTAAAGAGAGACTGGGGACAAGCATTCAGATGCATTATATACATGTATCGTCACAGTAATCATTGTGCACCGTAAACAGGTGCTAATAAAAATAAATATGAAAAGGAAAAGATACAGAACAAAAATGAAAGCATCGTAGATCTCAAAAAAATAGAGAATAGTGGGAAGTGCCATCAGTGACGTTTGAAATACATATTTTGAATAGAACTTTCAGGAATAAAAGGGATATGAACTTAATAACAGGAAGATTCTGTTCCAGGTATTGAGAACAGCCTAAACAATAGTTGGGAAACACTGGCCCACTGGCAAAGTAAAATAAAGATATTTTTAAATATCCTTTAAAAAAAAAAACATTTAAGATATTTCACTCAAAATTAAAAACTTAGAGTAAACTTCTATTCACTAAAATTCGAAAGTAATTTTTAAAAAATTGACATTACTATAAGTAGTTAGGAGAAGAAAAACATGTAGGTAGCTAAATTTAAGAAAAAAAAACAAAAGAATCTACCTTACAAAATATACATATATGTTAAAATAAATGTATAATAAGTATACAAATATTAAATCTTATATGTTTTGATTTTAAAAATTTTCATGGAGATGCATGCTACACTAAAAGATGAGGTTGAAAAGAAACATTTTCATTCAAAAATTCATATATTAACTTTTAAAGTCATAATTTTGTGAGTATTGGTACAAACAGAAACTACTCAACCATTGCATCAGTTGTTCAAGGCCGGGCGTGGTGGTGCATGCCTGTAATCCCAGCACTTGGGAGACTGAGGCAGGAGGATCATTGCGAGTTTGAGACCAGCCTTCCATACAAAGTGAGCTCAAGGCCAGCCTAAACTGGCTGTCTCAAAAAGAACAAAAAAAAGTTCAAACTAAGTGATTGTAAGATAGTCTTTGTGAAAATAGTAGAAGGTAATAGCCCTTGATATGTAGTACAGGTCTGACATTGTTATTCTATAAGCTGGTATCTAATGAATTGGAATATTTTCCAAGTTAAAGGGATGCTATGAAATGTATTGCATTATCTCCTCCATCTCCAACAAATTAATGTTTGTAATTTTGTGCTGTTATTTCTATTCATCAGTTGAATTCAGGAGAGTTTATTTAAATAATGTCATGATTAATTTATGTGTCTAGAAAACATACCTTTCACTAAGACTGTGAGAAATAAATTTTGAAGGGAGCCCTAATATCAATGAAGAGCCTTGTGATCACTCTTCTCTATAGGTTGGACCTTACAGTGCGACTTTTGGTCATTAATTGGGAAACCTGTATGCCAGGGTGGTAGGAACCAATTGTGGCTCTCAGCTGCCAAAGGCAATGTGGGTACAGTTACTGGACAGCAGAGTCAGAAAAACAGTCAGAATAATTTGACTCCTGTAGACTTACAGCATTGATTAGCATTTGTACAAATAAAATAGTAGGAAACCTACTGAATTCTTTCTTGATCTGTACAAGAGAAAAATTCTAGCTTTAAGAGGATGTCTAACTTGAATGTCTAACTCTTTAAATGTCTAACTTGAATCATAAAAGCAGAGATTTTACACTTGAACTAGTTTACAGACCCCAAACTCCTTGAAAGAAGATAGGATTGGCCTCCTTAAAGAAAGACCCTTGTAGACTGTCAAAGGTGTATATTACTAACCTTTCTCTCAGCCTTCCCAAAGGGAGCTATGGCATTTTAACAGAGGAACTGTGCACTGGGAAGAGGGAAATAATAAAATAAAATCTTTCAGGGACTATTGGATGCTGGCTCTGAAACAACACTAATCCCAGGAAATGCAAAATCTTACTGTGGTGCACTAGCCAAAGTAGTGGCTTACGGAGGTCAGGTGATTCGTGAGTACATCCACTGGGTTCCCAAACCCACACTGTGGCAATTTTCTGGAGTGCAAAATTGGAATGAATATACTAAGCAACTGACAGAATATCCAGATTTTATTCCTGATGTGTGGAGCAAGGGCCATTATGGAGGGAAAGGGCCAAGTGAAAGCCATTAACATGGTTGCTATATGTAGGAAGATAGTAAACGAAAAGCACTACCACATTCCTGGAGGGATTGTAGAGATTAGTGCAACTGTGAAAAACTTGAAAGATGCAGGAATGGTAATTTCCACCACATCTGCAATCAGCTCTTTTTTCTTTCTTTCTTTCTTTTTTTTTTTTTTGGCCTGTGTAGAAGACAAGGATCTTGGAGGCTGGCAATTAATTATCCAAGTTTAACCAGGTGGTGCAGCTGTTGTACCAAATGTGGTTCTGTTGTTTGGGCAAATTAATTAATCTTGGCACCTGGTGTGCATCTACTAATCTAGCCTTTTTATATCTGCTTGTCAGTAAGGACCCTGGAAGTAATCTGCCTTCATATGGCAACTCCAGCAATACACTTCACTGTATTTGCCTAGGGAATGTATCCTGGCTTTATGTCATGTTCGATTCAGTTCGGTTTGGATTGGATTGATTTTGAGGCAGAGTCTTTCTATGCAGTTCAGGGCAGCCTTCAGTTCGCTATGTAGTCCAGGCAGACCTCAAACTCATGTCTCAGCCTCCCAAGTGCAGGGATTACAGGCGTGTGCCACCCTGCCCGGTTTGTGTCATAGTTAGTTTGCAGGGATCTTGATAGTCCTTTTGTGCCACAAGACATCATAATGTACCAGCAGAGCCAATGGTGTCATTTTAGTTAATACTTCCTGTTAGCAGCTAAATGTCAACTTTGTGCTAAGTGGTCTATGTATGTCTGTAATTCATCATGCCTGCATTTACTTTGAGGCACCACCGCTCACATAAGCTTCCATTGAAATAGCTCCTCTTTAGAGTGCACAGTACTCCAAACTTAAGTATTATTATTGCTTTTCACAAATAAGGGAACCAAAGCAAAGAACCAGTTCAGTAACTTGAACATGGGCACAGAAGTAGGAAGAGGAGCTTGAATTTGAACTCACTCAGCCTAACACAGGCTTTGTTAGTTTATACAGGAACATTGTAGACTTCTTCTTCTCAGCTTGTACAAATTCAAATATTTGTATTCAACATGAGGTAAAGGGGAGTGAAGAGAAAATTTTTAAATCACAGTACTGAGGGATTGAACCCAGTACCTTCATAATGAGCTGCATCTCCACCCTTGTTCTTTTTCTGATTTTGGAACACAGCCTCACTAAGTTGCCTGAGCTAACCTGAACTTAGAATCCTCCTACCTCAGCCTCCCACAGTGCTGGGATTATAGGCTTGAGCTACCTGCCTGGCTAGGGGAATACTTTTAAAAGAGTGTGAGGTCTTAGAATGTAGCCCAGTGGTACAGTGCATAGCACACGCAGGGGCCTGAGTTCAGTCCCCAGCACGACCACCAAAATAAATGAATAAAAGTCATGGCTTCACTTTCACTTCCTGGGTAAGTTTTTATGTAAGGTCTTTTTACACTGACTGTGACGTAATTTTTTATGTCGTGTGTCCCCTAAATGCATGTTAGCTTCATCTGGCTTCAAGATCAACAGCTTCTTGCTCCACTGCTGGAGGAAGACTAGCTATGTTGGACTTACTAATGTAGAATATGTCACTCTGATTCCTAAGGTGTTTCAGGGGTCTAAATCTAGACCTTTTTGTGTAACATACTGACTCTAAAACTAGCTGGGTTAACTTAACTTTGTGGTACTGTATCTTCATTAGAAGCATATGAGGAAGATGTCAGCATCTGTGGTAGCATAGGTTTTTTTCTTTTTTTGCAGGTAGGGACCAGGAATCTAAGCAACTGGATGTTGCACTTGCCAGGCAGGTGCTGTGCTATTGAGCTATATCCCAGGCCCGTTGTGGTACCTTAGTTTTTAATCTGAGTCCCTACAAAAGAACACATGTAGCAACTAGATAGCAATGTTAAGAACCGAAGGGCAGCTTTCACTAACACTAGTTGCAGGCTGTCCACACAAAATTTCCAAATATACAAGATCTGATCAAAAAATAAAATGAATGTTTAACTTTTTAAAAATTTATTACAGTAAAAGACACATTGCCATTAATCCCCTCATTTTTAAATTTCATTTCTCTTGCAATTTTCTGAAGCAGTTTTGGAAGTCCTCTTTTATGAGTGTCTTACATTGCTCTGTCATGGCTGCCTCAGTGTTCTGAATCAATTAAAAATGTTTACCTTTCATGGTCATTATGACCTTTGGGAGTTCCATAGTGCCACATCTAGTGAGGAAGGTGGGTTCCCAATGCTACAATGTTTTGATATTATGTCTTTCTTTGGATGGAGTGAGCAGCAGCATTCACTGTGCCTGTGATTATACCTTGTAATCACACAAAAAAGACTTCCAGGACTGCTTCAGGAAGCGGCAGGAACACGGGATAAGCATGCTGGGAGCACTGGAGAGCACCTTGAGAGGGATTAATGGCAATGCATTTTTCACTGTAGAAATTTTTTAAAAATATTTACTGTGTATTTTGATTGTACCTTATAAATGTGTTTTTCTTGGGCCAAGAAATGTTTCAGATAGTCCTGGAGCATCTTTTATACTACTATTTTAAGGGGCATGTCTAAAGAACTCAGAAGTTGAAGAAGTTCCCATTGGCTAAAGATAAATTTCAGTAATAATAATTGCAACTATTTAAACATGCTAGATGAGTTTACACCTTTGAGTTCATAATGATATTTTAAAAAATAATTGGTTATCTTTGGTGGATTAAAAGGACTCAGTTCATTTTACTACAGAAAATAATATTGGTGTACATACTGATAAACCACTAAAGGGACAGAATCAGTCATATATCCTGCTTTTCCTATATGATTATATCACTGAGTAATCAAATAGTAGAGAAAAGGAACTAGATATTTCTGTAAATGTATTTTAATTAATAAGTGGGAATGAAATGATATTATTAAACAGTTTTAATCCCCAGTGGTGCATTAAGCATCAAAGCAGTCATACCGTAACAAGAGCGATATCCAGACATCACGTGTCTCCTGTAATCTTGCCACAGGGTTCAAGCGGATGTCCAATCCAGTCTGTGGGCCCAGCTGCCAAATCATAGCCAATACAGAGGAGAGAAGAACAGGTTAAATGGCAGTAAGAGTATGCAGTTGGCAAAGCCAGACGGTTAGAAATTCTACGGTCAATAGTCCATGTTAATTTGTAGAAAAATGAAAGAAATGGATAATGAACGTACTGATTGAGACTTAACAGACATTAATGGGGGAGGGGGCTGGAGTTGAACCCAGAGCCTCAAATGTGCTAAGCACAAACTGCTACTGAGCCATACCTGCTCATTTCTCTTAACTGGACAGGACTACATTATAGCACCTAGGAGTACACATTTAGTTAACGCGGTCATAAAAAGAAAGAAAGAAAAGGCAGGTGTTGCTTATGCATTGGGAAGGGTGAGGATGATGACTGGAAAGGGCGTATAAGGGGCTTATGAGGTGACTACCATGGTTCTTTTTCTGGACCTGCAAGGTAGTTACTAAGCCATATACCCTATTTGATTCTTGTGATTTTCTGCATCTCAATGTTAATTGTATCATAAAGAAAAATTTTTAACAGCATGTTACAGTATATAACAAGCTGAGCCCAGATAATACTTTCTGTGTGATAATTTTCCCATTCAATACAGAAGCAAATGTAACTTTCAAGAAATTTATAAAAACTTGGGCGGAGGATGGTGGTACGGGCCTGTAATTACAGCTATTAAAGAGGCAGAGACGAGGGGATTGGAAATTTGTAGCCAGCCTGGGCAATTTACTGAGATGTTATCTCAAAAATAAAATTTTGAAAGGGCTGGGAATGTCTGTCACTCAATCGTAGAACACGTGCCTCTTGTGCACAAAGCCTCGGGTTCAATCCCCAGTGTCGTATGCACCCATTAGAAAAAAAACCTGGGAAAGGCCTTTAGAGTTCTTCAACATTACGAAATTTTTGTGATTGCCTCTTCTTTTATATATGAAACCATATTAGCCTAAAATTACAGAGATAGTTCAAGAAATGTCCCAGTATTTTTTTCTTACTATAATAGTAAAATTTGCTCATTATAGAAAATTTACAAACAAAACATATAAACATGGAAGCTGGGCATGGTGGCACATGCCTGTAATCCTAGCACTGGGGAGGCTGGGGCAGGAGGATCACTATGAGTTTGAGGATGGTCTTGGTTACATAATGAGTTCAGGGCCCACCTGAACTACATAGCTAGACACCCTCTCAATAAACAAAACAAAAAATCATATATATATAAAATCTGATATGGTCCCCAGAGATAACCCTAAATAATATTTTGTAATATTTCCTTTTAGTATATGTGCTGCTGAAGCAAGCACAATATTTCCTTCTATATATTAATATATTTTCATTAGGAAAATACAGTTTTATACTGACTTTATGTTCTTATTACAGGTATTTTACTTATATTCAGTCTTAGATAAAAGACACTTAGAGTGGTCATTCCTCTCAAAGTAGAATTCCTTAATCCATCGTTTTCCTCCCGAACTGGGGTTGAACCCAAGATCTTTGCCTTGAGCTTCATCCTCAGGGTATTGCTAAGCCAATAAGTTGCCCAGGCTGTGCTCAAACTTGCATTCTTCCTGTCTCAGGCTTTTAGATGCTGGAATGATAGGCATGCTGCCACCCTGTCTAACTCATTGATATTTCAGAATTTTTTTCCTAGGTGGGCTACATCATGCTGCTGCCCGGATTTCTGGGGAGAATGTCTATAAGCATTTGAAGTATGAAGGTGGGATCCACCGGGTTCAGCGAATCCCTGAGGTGGGCCTGTCGTCGCGAATGCAGCGGATCCACACAGGAACTATGTCAGTCATCGTCCTTCCTCAGCCGGATGAGGTAACTGCGGCAGGATACCCTGAAAACTCACTCCGTGCAAATGGGTATTGTACTGCAAAGTTTTAGCTTCTGGGAAAATCTCTTGTTTTTGTGGTTACCAAGTGGACTTTATAGTCTCTCTTTTTATTAGTACATGTTTGCAGTGTGTAATGGTGACATGCATCATGGGGCTTTGGTACATGTACCTTCTTTTTATTTCCTCTTTCCCTTCTCTTTATTTCCCCCTCCATCTATCTCTTGGTCCCTTTTCCTTTACGCTAAAAATCTTTTAAGAAAAAAAATGAATTCCACAGATAATATTTCCAAGTCAAAGATACAGTATCTGTATGGGGCGTCTGTATCTTGCTGATTGACTACAGACACCTTCTCTTTTTTTTTCTTTGCTGAGCTTTTGGGTTTTTAAATGTACAGACAGTTGAAAGAATATCACAATAAAAACTTACGGCCTTCACCTGGAATCAACAGTTGTTTATGTCTTCTTACATTCGTTTTAGTCCTATATATTATATATGTGTGTATTTATATATACAAATATCCTGTAAAGAATATAGATTATCTCTCTCTATGCCATACCTTTGTCCTTTATACATATGACATAACATGAGACTTCTCTCATCAAATCTTCCACATACATCTCCCAGGAATAAGGATATTCTTCTACATAAGTGTAATACCATTATCTGTGAACATGGACCAGAATTGTATAATATTATGTAATATCTAATCCCCTTTACAGTTTCCTCAATCAATCCAAAAGCATTTTCATGGCTATTTTTTAACTAAGATTCAGTTAAGCTTTACACATTGCAATTGTTGTAGCTCCTCAAGTCTGGAATTATCTCCCAACTTTTTCTTTAATCACATTGTCTTTCGTTTTTGTGTTTGTATGTGTGAGTGTGGTTTTGTTGTTTTGATTCTAGGGGTTGAACCTAGGACCTTTGTAATGAGCTATGTCCCAGCCTTTTTGTTTTTGTTTTGTTTTGTTTTGTTGAGGGTCTCGCTATGTAGTCCAGTCTGTCCTTAAACTCTTGAAGTCACAATCCTTCTGCCTCAGTCTCCCAAGTGTTGGGACTACAGATATGCACCACCATGCCTGGCCTCACCCTAGGTTTTTACTTTGTATTTTGAGACATGGCCTTGCTAAATTGCTCAGGTTGGGCTTGAACTTGCAATCCTCATGTCTCCAAGTCCTGGAATGCTGGGATTATAGAACTACACTGCCACTCCCAGCTCAATTTACAGCTTTTGAACAAGCATACTGTATAGTTGCTATGTGTCATATTGCTTCTGGGAGCACATAATATCTCATTGTCCCACCTTGTATGAGACTTAGTTTGACTGTTGAGTTGGGATGGTGACCAAAACAAATCAACATTGTAAAGGAAGGTATATTTTCCCCTTTTCAAATACTAAGTAATCTCTAGAGTACACATATCCTGTCCCCAATAGCCTTCCATCTGTGATTTTAGCATTCCCTGAGGATCCCCCCATGAATCAGTTGTTTAGTTCAGGGTCTCAAAATGGTGATTTTCTAATTCTGTCACTCCTTCTACATTTATCATTCTTCTGGAAGGAACTGCTGTTTTTATTGCCTTCTCTTCCCTTTCACTACACTTTCTTTCTCTTTTACTTGATACCATTATAAACTCATACTAAGTTTCATATACTGACTTTGTTATAGAGTCATGGATTTGTCTTAATCCAACAAGTTACAATCATTATTCTTTTTCCTGCTCAAATTGTCCCAGACTTGGCTGATGTTATCCTTTTTAGGGTGCCCTCTCTCCTTTGCTGTCATCAGTATTTGATTCTTGCTTTCTGGAACAGCCAGCTACCCCAGGCCCATCTCACATTCTCCTGTCTCAGATCTGGAGTCAGTCAGTCCCAGACCGTCTCTCAGCCGGGTGTCGGTGGGGGATATACCCAGAAATGACTGTTTGAATATACAGTGAGCTCATTATTACTAGAGTATCCTTATTTCTAGACTAAGAAACATGTTTCATAATCAGTTTCATATTACCAATGCAAATTTAACATTACAGAGATGGTTTTCTCCTTGGTTTCTTGCATTTTATATCTCCACTTAGAGTAAAAAAATCTCATCTCATAATTATTTTAATATATTTACTTATTTGTTGTTATAACTGTATAAGAATTTTCATGGTAATAAAAATTACCATGGCAACATTACTAGTAGTAAATTATTAAGTAATGTTTAAGATTTTTGTTCATAGACTATATCTCACCAAGAATGTATAGTCAGAGCACTCCTAACTGAAACAGGGAGTGTGGTTCTTTCTTTGGTATAAGTTATTTCCTCAGCTAGTCTAATTCTTATTGTCTTAACACAAAACAGTTCACTTTATTTGGAAAAAAAATCTCAGAATAAGTTTAATATTAAAATATTCTTCAAGCTAGGCTTGGTGGCACATGCCTGCCCAGCACTCAGAGTCTAAGGCAGGGTATAGCTCAGCAGGCACAGCACCTGCCTGGCAAGTGAGAAGTCCTGAGTTTGATTCTCAGTACCAAAAAAAATGTGTCTAAGGCAGGAGAATTACAAGTTCAAGGTCAGCCTGAGCTACATAGGGAATTCAAAGCCAGCCTGACCTATAGAGCAACTTTGTCTCAAAAAATAACAAGTATCCATAGAATGTAGAATTTACTTATGCTATATCTTTTATTCCAGGTGGATGTAAAAGTGGACCACAGGGATTTGCGAATAGATACATTTCGATCCAAAGGAGCAGGAGGGCAGCATGTTAATACCACAGACAGTGCTGTCAGGCTTGTCCATATCCCCACAGGTGAGCACATTTACTTTTGTGTCTTCATCTTTTTTCTACATATTCAGCATTTAGAAGGAAGGAGTTCTGTTTGATGTCTGGTTCCTTATAGAGAATCCTGCATTGATGCTGGGATGCTGGATCTGCTACCTCTGTGGTGTTAGTGGTCTCTTTCTTTTTGGAAATGGTGCAGATGGTGAGCAGATATGCGGAGAAGCTATCCGGTGTGCTGGACAGGGTGAGGAGCCGGAGGGCTCCAGCCCAAATACAGATGCAGCATAAAAGCAGAACAGGACACGCCACTGCTGTCGACCTCTTGGCATCTTGAAGTGGACACTTGCTCGCTGCATTAGTCAGTCAGGCTCTGCTGTTATTTTGAGTATTGCTAATTTTGATACACTATGAGACAGTTTTGCAGTCCTTAAAGTAATGTTTTTGTTTCTTTGAGACAGAGACTGACTGTGTAGTTCAGGGTGGCCTTGAACTCACTCTGTAGCCCAGGCTGGCCTCAAGTTTGTGGTGATCTTCTTGCCACATCCTCCCAAGTGCTAGGGTTTCAGTTGCTAGGGTTTCAGTTACCATATGACACTATGAATGTACTGACAAGTGCACCCTTAGGCACTTTCATCCTCGTGAGAAAATCAGGTGTCCACAAGCTGAGATGGTTATGGCGTCACTAGGTGATGGAATGTTATGGACTTACCATCATATATGCAGCCTGTCGTTGACTAAAATATTATGTGTACATGGATTGTATTTCTAATATTTTACAGATTAAACTTTTTAACTTTCTTTGTTAGATTATTTTTTATATTACATGTATGTGGGGTTTTGTTGTTGTTGTTTTGAGACAAGGTCTTGCTATTCAGTTCAGGGCAGGCTTGAACTCATGTAGCCCAGGCTGGCCTCAAACTTGCGGCGATCCTCTTGCCTTAGTTTCCCGAGTGTGGGGATTACAGGTGCGCACCACCAAACCCAGCCCATGTGTGTGGTTTGTAAAATCTAATAGTAAACTATTTTAGCAAAAAACAAAGCAACTCCATGGATCTACTTCCTTGTTTCTCCTTCCTCAACCCTGTTTCTGTTTCCTAACGGAAACCTCATTAAATTCTTCTAGCTATGTCTTCTCATAATTACAACATGAGATGTTGTAACTAATAACAACAAAACCCCACATATATGTCTAAGTAACAGCATGTAGTCTCTTCTGGTCAGTTACTGGTGGAGATTACGTGTTGACTTCTTAATGTGGTAGGTGAGGGTTCTTTAGTCCCCTTTTTCCCAAGTATTCATGTTTTGTAAAATTAATTTTCACAGAAATGAGCAGGTAAATTACAGTTTTCTTTCTCTAGAATGAATAATTACCTCATTATTTTTATTTGCTTAATGTCTTAACACTTAAATCTTTTTCATTTGTTTTGTTTATTGCTTTTAACCTGGAGACTCATATTTTTTCAGTTCTGAAATATTTTCTCCAGTAATTTTTGTTTTGTTTTGTTTGTCCTGGGGATTGAATGCAGGGCTTCTGAGAAACCTCCCCAGCACTTTTTGATTTTTGAGACAGGGTCTTACTAAGTCACTAAGTTGCCACAGCTGGACTCAAACTTCTGATCCTTCTGCCTCAGCCTTCCATTGTGCTGGGATTACAGACATACAACATCACATTGACTTTTCTTTTTTTTTTTTTTTTTTTTTTTTTTTTTTTTTTTTTGGTTTTTCTCCGGTACCGGGAACTGAACTCACGACCTTGCGCTTGCCAGGCAGGCGCTTTTGCTGCTGGGCTAAATCCCCAGCCCCTCACATTGACTTTTCAATAATTTCTTGCTGACTGTGCCTTACCGTATGATGCCCTCCACCATGGTGTCATGCAGCAATAAAACCTTTATTCGGTCTTGGACTTCCCAGCCTCTAAAACCATGTGCCAAAATAAATCACTTCTTTTTTTGGGGGGGTTGGGTATAGCATCCTGGATATTGAGCCCAAGGTTTTGTAAGCAGTGTATCAAGTTATTTTATGTATTTATTTTATGTATTTATTTATTTATTTATTTTTGTCTTTTTTGAGACAGAGTCTTGCTATGCAGTTGAGGCTGGCCTTGAGCTCACTTTGTAGCCCAGGCTGGTCTCGAACTCGCAGTGATCCTCCTGCCTCAGCCTCCTGAGTGCTGGGATTATAGGAGTGGGCCCCCACACGTGGCCATCAAATTATTTTTAAAATATCAGTTCCGTGTGCGCGCATGTGCATGTGTTTTAAATGAAGGGGAGAGACTGAGTGTTCCTTGAGTTGGACAGAGAACGGAGCAGCACTGCATAGGGCTTGGCAGCAGTTTCCTGTTAGTTGAGCTGCAGAAATCCCTGGACAAGTTAATAGGAAGAAGAACTCAGGGAATAAAAGAAAGTGTGACATTATCTGCTTCTTTTATCCTTCCCATCTGAAATACTCTATCTCCTTCCAGGATCAGAATCTAAACAGTCACCTACAGCTGTTGCCATCAGTTTCTGAATTGTGCTAAATCTCAGATGTTTTTAATCTTATGTGATCTTTTTTCTGATTAACCTTTCCTCTTTTTTTTTTTTTTTTTCCTCATACTATAGTCCAGCCTGGCCTTGAACTCACTATGTAGCCCAGTCTCTGGCCTTGAATTTGCAATGATTCTCCTGCTTCAGCTTCTGAATGTGGGATTAAGGTGTGCGCCACCACACCCAGCAACCTTTCCTCTTTAAAATGTGCCAGAGTTCTTTAGTCAGTGCTATAGAGGCTACAGTTTACCTTTGGTCTTTATTGTTTTTCAGGGTTAGTAGTAGAATGCCAACAAGAACGATCACAGCTAAAAAATAAAGAAATAGCTCTGCGTGTGTTAAGAGCTAGACTCTACCAACAGATTATTGAGAAAGACAAGTGTCAGCAACAAAGTGCTAGGAAACTTCAGGTAAGACTTATTATTTAGTGTAAGAATTTAAATACTCTGCACGAAAAGTCACCATTTTAGAGCTGGGCATGGTGACACATGCCTGTAATCCCAGCACTCACTGAAGCAGGAGGATCCCCACAAGTTTGAGGCCAGTCTAGACTACAAAGTGAGATCTTGTCTCAAAAAGCAGACAGAATTTTTAAAATTATTTTTACTTGTTTAGAGACAAGGTCTCTATGTAGTCCAGGCTGGCCTTGAACTTACTATGTAGCCCCAGCTGAGCTCGAACTTGAAGTGATCCTCTCACCCACAACTCCCAAAATGTCACCATTTTATGTAGAAAATAGTATTTGCTTTTTTTTTTTTTTTGGTTTTTCTCCGGTACCGGGAACCGAACTCACGACCTTGCACTTGCCAGGCAGGCGCTTTGCCGCTGAGCTAAATCCCCAGCCCCTAATATTTGCTTTGAATGAATGGAAATAGGGCTGGCAATATGGCTCAGTGGCACAGCGTCTGCCTGAATGAATGGAAATGTCTTGGAGAATAGGGAAACATGTTTATTTGTAAATAAACAGTAATTTACATGCCTATATACTGATGGGTTATCCTTGAATTTAAGCATGCCAGTGTGCAAATGAGTAAATGAAACCTGGATAGACAAAATTATTTCCCGGTTGTTTTCTTTAAGTACTTATAACTGTCTTAAGAGGAAATTGGTTTTAAAGATAAATAATACAGGGCTAGGTGTGATGGCACATACTTGTAATCCCACCACTCAGTATGCTGAGGCAGGAAGATTTTGAATTTGAGGTCAGTCTGGACTACATACAGCAAGATTTTATGTGAAAAAAATTTTTTTCTTTGGAAATTCAGATTTTCACATGTACTTTCATCTGGATCTAATACAAATGGCACTGCAAGCCAGGCATGGTGGTGCACGCCTGTAATCCCAGCACTCGAAGGCTGAGGCAGGAGGATTGTTGCAAGTTCGAGACCAGCTTGGGCTACAAAGTGAGCTCAAGGCCAGCCTGAACTGTGTAATGAGTCCCTGTCTCAAAAAGACAGAAAAAGAAAAGGCACTGCAAAATTCAGGGAACCATGATTGCTAATGATGGAATAAGGGAGAGGATGAAGATTGATTTATCACTGTATACCCTTTAGTACTTTTTGAATTTTGTACCATATGCTACATTTGCACTGTTATGTATTCAAATGAATAAGTAGATAAATACTGTGTAAACTGAGTAAATGTCATTAAGTAAACGAAGTATTAAGTTCTGAAAGTAAAGGCTCAGGGAATCTGGAGGAGAAAGCGGTGCTCAGGGTTAACTGTGCTTTGGCATGATCTGCAGGTCGATGTGGCTCAGTAAACCAAATTTTGAAGTTTGTGACCTTTTAGGTTAATGAGTTGCAAAAATCTAAATATTGTCTTAAATCTTTTCAGCTACATATGTCCAAGTCTTTTCACATTCTTGTCTTTCTAGCTTTCTTTATCTGCATTCTAACCTGCAGATACCAAAGGGGTAGGATAAATAATATTTTAGTACTTGGTGTGGTAATCCCAGGTTGTGGAGCAGCATCAGTGTGTAATTTGCAGATAGGAGCGCTCATTTATACTTCTATGGCAAGTAAGTGATAAATACTATGGATTCTGCCACATTTGAGCTAATAAAAGACAGGGGGATTTACTTGCCATTTAACATTTTGGTACTAGAGGTTCCACATAGTAATTTTTAAAATAAATATTTAAAACTGTATGCAAATTGTATATATCCATTCTTTAGTTGCCTAATTCGAAGAGCCAGGACAGATCACCTCACCTTTCAAATACTTTAGCCACTTGGCTAAACTGTTTCAGTAGGGATTTCCAAGGCTTAGAACTATTTTCTTTAAGCAGTGTGTGCAGGGCTTTTATACAGAAGGCATGATGCCTGGTGCTCACCCTTGCTACATTTATCACCTAGAGGTCTTTGTAGGTGCCTACCTCCCCAAATCCTGGGGTTCTGGTCCAGTTGATCTGGAGTGGAATCCTGGTTGGTAATGTGGTACTTTGCAGTAACAGTTTCCGAACCTGACTGTCAGAATAGATGACCTGGAGAATGTCTTAGGAATCCATAGTTTAAAACACTTTTTAAAACTGATGATCAAGAGTTTAGTTTCATATTGCTTGCCTTATGGATTATAAGAATGAATTCTAGAAATGTCTTTTTTTAATTTTAAAAAGTAAAGGTGAGGGACTGAGACTATGGGTCAGTGGTTGAGTGCTGGTCTAGCAAATGCAAGACCCTGGGTTGGATTTTCAACATCAGAAAAAAAGCAGAAGTAATAATGATTAAGAGAAAATGCTGAGTATATCATTTGCTAGGGAGATGGGGGAGATAAGCGGATTTAAAAGAATATAAATAAAATGTGGTATGAGGTGAGCTCTGGTAAACCATGAAGAAAATGTCAAGGGCAAAAGGTTTCAAAGGAGGGACTGAATATATTTTAGTTACTCCAATCGCAAAGGTAGAGATGGTAGGGAAGGCGTATTCCATGAGATGATTTTTTTCTAGTTCTGGGGAATCAAACAAAAGGGCACTTTAGCACTGAGCTATATTCCAAGGCCTTCATTACTTTTTATTGTGAGACAGGAGCCTGCTAAATTGTTGAGGCTGGCCTTGAATTTTTAATCCTTCTATATAAGCCTCCTGAGGATGGGATTATAGGCATATGCCACTGCATCCAGCTGAGATGATGCTTTAGTGGAGTTATCAGGAATACATGTAAAAATGGTAAGGTATCTTAAGTGGCATTATAGAGGATTCTGTCACATCGTTTTGAGAAATAACATTGGGAAGGTTTGCTATGTGAGGAAGCACCTTAAACATTTAGCTGTGTCTGCTTAGTAGAGGAGAAAGAACCAAAGAAAGCTCACTCAGAGAATGGGGCCCTAGATACATGAAACAAAGCAGCACAGTGTGAGCAGATAAAATGGACGCTTTATCTGGGTACCTGTGCAGGACTGTGAGTGAGAGAGCTGACAGTAGAAACAGAAAGCAAAAAAAGAAAGAAAGAAAGAAAAGAAATGCAGAAAGCAGAAGATGAGAGACTCCTGATACCAATTAGAAATGGCGGTTAGAGCACGGGATGAACCGAAGGTGGTGTTTGTGCCAGAGCCCATATCAAAGCCTGGGGTAGTAAACTATGAAATACGGAGACAGAGTGTCGGTTTCCCATTTAAATAAAAGGAAGCTCATGGTGGAGCCAGGAGGAACAACTGATTGACTGGGGTAGAAAGAGGATTAATTTGGTTTTAAAATTTGGAGTTTGAAATACTAAATAGACATTTATTCTCATTCTGTATCTAAGGTCTACAAACCTCTAGGGTTTTTTTGTTGCAGTAGTTTTGGGTTTTGGGGGTTTTTTTTGGTAGTGTAGAGGATTGAGCTGAAGGCCTTGGGCATGTTAAGCATGGACCCTACCACTGAGCTACCTCACTTGCCCCTAACCTATAGTTTTAACATTAAATCCTGCCTGGGTCACTTTATATAACTTAAAAAAAAAATACTTAAACTGCTAAAATAGGAAAGTCATTTACCAATACTTTTTCCATTGTGATGAAGGTAATTAAAATATGAATTGCTTTTTTTATGCCACAGGTGGGAACCAGAGCCCAATCAGAGAGAATTCGAACATATAATTTCACCCAGGATAGAGTCACTGACCATAGGATAGCATATGAAGTTCGCGACATTAAGGTAAGGTTACTCATAATGCACTGAAGGGAATTATAGAAGGTGTGTACACCGTGGCATTTTAGAAGTCTGCCTGCTATAATGTGTATTCATTAGGTGTTAAAACTGTGCTGATAAAGAAGGGACCCTGTCAAAATTATTTTGGGGAAAAGGCAGAAAGTTTTGATCCTTTTCTTTGGTTCATGTGGTAATTCCTTCACTTGATTCTAACCCATTCTGTACTCAAACTAAAAATTTAAAGGGAAATGTCTTTTTAAAATAAGTTTATCAATTTCAGTGTATCTTATGCCACTTCTTGCATAGGAACATAGCAGCCATGTCGAAAAGGAGAAAATATTTGCTAACTTCCCTTTCCTCAGGAAACACACAATATTAAGCAAATATGTTTGGCCATACTCTTTGCACCAAATTCTTTTTTAAAATTTTTTTCCCATTTGAAGTGTGAAGTTTAGTGGTTTTCAGCTTTGTACAACTGTCACCACAGTCATTGGCAGGGTGTTTTCATCACCCCAAGAGAAGTTTCACCCCTCGGCCCTCATCCTGCAGCGCCCCTGCCCCCAAACAAACACCTAGTCTGGACATTTTGTTTAAATAAAACCAAATATAGAACCAAATAATATGTATAGTCTTTTGTGTCCAGCTTCTTTACATCATATTCTTTCCGTTGTTTTCTTGATCAGTAATATTTTTTAGTTGGGCTTATAGGCACATTTGGCTATTTCACTTGTGAAATAGAGGCATAGTAACTGGCTCTTATAGCTATAACATATCTGATGTCAACCTAAGTACTAATTGTATTATTAATTAGCATGACAGACTTAGAAATAACAAAGAAAATGATAGTAGTATGTTCCAGTAATCATTAACCAGCCTATTGGAAAGAAGGAAAAGATTCCATGTTAGTGAGAAGAAATAGTTAGTTTGAAAACACCATGAAAAAAATGTAGTAGTAAAACATCAAAATCTGTTAAAGTGGTAAGTAGGGAGATGGTGATTCAACAGTACTACGTTTCCCTTACATAGGAGGAATGTGATCCAGTGATTTATTCCATTGAATAGTTACTATAGTAAATAATCCATTGTATATTTTAAAGTTACTGTAAGTGTAGATTTCAAATGCTTTCACCACAAACTTTATAAGCTTATGAGTTTGTTGACCAGTATGATTTGATCACTTCACATTGTAGACATAGCAGAACATCAGTGTTCACCATAAATATGTATAATTGTCATTTGTCAATTACAAATAAAATGTTTAAAAATCTAGGTGGATGTGGTGGCACATGTCTAATCCCAGCTACCCAGGAGTCTAAGAAAGGAGGATCACAAGTTTAAGAAACCTAGTGAGATCCTTTATCTCAAAATTTAAAAAGGGCTGGATACATAGCTCAGTGGCAGAGCACTTGCCTAGTATATACACAGTTCTGGGTTCAGTCGCCAATTCTGGAAGAAAAATATGTGTGACGAAGAGTAAAGAGGCTCATAGGAATGAGTAACTTAGGAACTAGGTTATTGTAGATGAGGTTATCAAAGTAATAGGGGCCACAGCATCAGGGCAATAGCTTTTGGACAGAGAAGAGATGAATAGAAAGAAAGTGACTATCGAGGGGACCTCCCATGTTACTGGTTGTGGTCATGTTTATATTGTAGAACTGTAGTGATCTGTTGTTGCTGTTAATGACTGTAAAGAAATTAAATTTTCTTCAACTAATAATCAGGTGTAGTTATCTTCCTGTAACAAATAACAGATAAATTATTTAAAAGGGGGAAGGTAAGTTTTGGCTCACTTTTAGAGGATTAGTACTGAAGGCTGGGAGTGCTGATCGGCTCCATTGCTTTGGGCCTGTGGTGGCAGAGTACATCCTGGAAGTGCGTAGCAAGCAAGGCCATTCACTTCACAGCCTGGAGCAGGAGAGGAGAGAGGCTGGAGTCCCACAGGCCCTTCAGTGGGCACATCCCCAAGGACAAGACCTCCGACTAGGCCTCACTTCTTGAAGGTTTCCACCACCTTTCAGGCCAAGCTGAGGACTAAGCATTTAATGCCTAGATCTTTGGGGGACATTCTAGCTCAAGACTACAGCATAACATCTCCCAACAACTCTCTTTTACCAGGGACTTTTATGTGGTGAGAAGTGCCTGGATCAGCTAATTCAGAGACTGCTTCAATCAGCAGATGAAGAAGCCATTGTTGAACTTTTGGATGAAAACCTTAAATCAGCAAAATAAATCAGCTGATTTATTATTTGTTGTTATATAAATGGAATGGGCCTATCAAGAAGCAGATCAAGATGATGAAGTATCTATGAATATTCATAAGTGAAGCTATAAATATAAATATATTTTTTTTTCATGAATCAGAGTCACATTTCTTGTCTTAAGGGTTTATTTGGGTTGTTTTAATAAACAACCCAAATTATTTGTTGTTTGAAACTCAGGCTGATTTCGAACTTGACATCCTCCTGCCTTAATGTCCTGAGTGCTGGAGATGTACTACTACTTATATATTAAACATTTTTCATTTACTACTTCAGGAAAGTGTAAATTTTAATGATACAAAATTTAGTACTTAGTTTGTGAATCACGTATTTAAAAGCAGAGACAGAGTACAGTGGTACCTCAGTTCACAAACTTAATTCATCCCACAATTCTGGAGAAGACAGCTACATTGCTGTTCATGAGGAAAAGATGGCCAAGGTTGTGTCCATCACCTGACATAGAGTTGACAAACAGAAACAAAATTTTGTCAAATGCTTCTGTTTGTGAACCAAATTCTTCACAAACAAAAGCATTTGTGAACTGAGGTCCCTGTACAGGTACTTTTAATTATGTCAAAGTGAAGACTGTTACTTTTTCATAAAAAGTAAATAAAAATTGCAAGGATTAAAAGAATAAAAAGGGCTTAGAAGTGTAAATATCTCGTGCAACTCCAGCATCTCTCTCAAGCACCTACGTTGTTCCTTTCAAATGTAATTATGAAGAGAGTTCCCCCGTCTCAGTGTCTGGGCAGACAGAGTCCTCACTTAGGTCACAGCCAGCGAGCAGACTTCGCTGACCTCATCACATTTACCCTGACCAGCTGTTTGTCTGACTTCACTGACTCTACTGAACTCCTTCACTTGCCTCTCCCTCATTTCTCTTTAAAATGCCCAGTTTTCCTTGGGAAAAATTCCAGTGGAGTTCAGCTCTTTCCTCTCTTGTCAGTAGTTACTTTTTACCTCTTTAGTAGTCAGCTATGTTTATCTTTGACAGTTTGGTGACTGATATGACAGTGGTACGTGTTTTCCTTATAATCAGCGTATATCTGTGGGATGACACTTTGACTTCATAGAAATACTGATTCTTTATAGTGGTAGGAAGCTTCTCAGATGGCCCCAGAGACTCCTATTGGCATTCAAGCTCTTGTGTATAAAGGCATAAATCTCCCTTTAAGTGTAGACTAGATTTATTGACTCTTCTAACAAACAGAATGCACCAGAGATAATTAGATTGTGACTTCTCACACTGAGTTGTAAGAGATTATTTCTTTTGCAGAAGAGTCTTAAGAGCAGGCATGGTGGCACGCACTTGTGATCCCAACACTCAGGAGGCTGAGGCAGGAGGATCACCACAAATTCAAGGGCAGCCTGTGCTACACAGTGAGTTCGAGGCCAGCCTGAAATACGTAGGGAGACCCTCTCTCAACAAAAACAAAAAAAGAGTCATAGGAGGAAAAAAGACAAGGGAAAGTTGTTTCTTCAGTGAAAGCAAGGGATGCCCTAATGTGTCCATTTTCCCTGCTATGGACACACTGTGGCATTGACTACATTTCCCTTTATTCTTCCCTCTTTCTCTAGCTTTGTCTTTTTCTTAAGGCACATGCTTTATTTGGAGGAAAAATGAATCAAAACAAATTGTGGAGCTATGAATTTACAAAAATCTCAGATTGTGTATTTCCTTAAGTCTCTGTATACATACAAATCATTTGTTGTAATGCTGATTTTGGTTCAGTAGTTCAGGAGACTATGACTCTGTGTTTTTAACAAGCTCCCTGCTTATGGCAGAGACTGCTGAAATACAGTGCTTGAAGTAGCAAGGATCTAGGACACCTGCTATTCAATTAGTGAGTACTTCTGTTGTTACACACTTTATTTTCCTACAATGAGATTCATTTTCACTCATAATCCTACTTCATCCTGGAAGTAGATCTATTAGTCTGCCAGGGGACAAAAATAAACCTGATGCTTTTTAACTGTCAAATGGAATAATAGGAAATAAACATAGAAACCAAAGCTATATTAGAATTCTTGTAAAAAATCTGGAAAGCAAGTTTATTGCCTCACATACATTCTTATATGTATAAATATATGTATATATGTATAAATATAAATAGCAAACTTTATTTCAAAAATATATGGATATAACTTAAACCTGAAACTGAAATTGAATCAAGTGAAATAGGGTCAACAAACTATTACTGACAGTCAAAAATTATTTTAGAAGTCGAGCATAGTGGTGCACACCTGTAATCCCAGCATTTGGGAAGCTGAGGCAGGAGGACTGCTGTGAGTTCGAGGCCAGCTGGACTAGAAAGTGAGTTTAAGGCCAGTGTGAACTACATAGTGAGACCCTGTCTTAAAAAAATAAAAATTTTTAGAAAGCACCTGGTTCTTACCTTGCAGCTTGATGGGTGGAGCCGATAGTGATTAGGGTCATTTGCATTGAGGCTGCAGGATGTGGAGCTTCTGGGATGCTAGTAATGTTCCCTTTCTTGATTTGAACGGAGGTTATACAAGTGTATTTATTTTGTGAAAATTCATTATATTTACAATGAGGTGTTCCCTTTTCTATGTGTATACTATTCCACAAAGGTTTTTAATAATAAAATTTCAGTTTAAAAAGTATATATCCTTTCCATGCTGCTCAGGCAGGGGTCCACATGGCGTTGTTCTTGATTCCCATCATAACTTAACTGGAAACTTCACAATGTCTGGAGCCCTTGATGTCCTGCAAATGAAGGAGGAGGATGTCCTTAAATTCCTTACTGCGGGAACCCACCTAGGTGGCACCAACCTGGATTTCCAGATGGAGCAGTATATCTACAAAAGGAAAAGTAATGGCATCTATATCATAAATCTGAAGCGGACCTGGGAGAAGCTTCTGCTGGCAGCTCGAGCCATGGTCGCCGTGGAAACCCTGCTGACGTCAGTGTCATATCCTCTAGGAACACCGGCCAGCGCGCTGTGCTGAAGTTTGCCGCTGCCACTGGAGCTACTCCTATTGCTGGCCTCTTCACTCCTGGGACCTTCACTAACCAGATCCAGGCAGCCTTCCGAGAGCCACGACTTCTGGTGGTTACTGACCCCAAGGCTGACCACCAACCCCTCACAGGTGTCAACCATTTCTCTGTGCAACACAGATTCTTCTCTGCGCTATGTGGACATTGCCATCCCTTGCAACAATAAGGGAGCTCACTCAATGGGTCTGATGTGGATGCTGGCCTGGGAAGTGCTACGCATGCGTGGCACATCTCCTGTGAACACTCATGGGAAGTCATGCCAGATCTCTACTTCTACAGGGATCCCGAAGAGACCGAAAAGGAAGAATAGGCAGCTGCTGAGAAGGCTGTGACCAAGGAGGCATTTCAGGGCGAATGGACCGCACCAGCTCCCAAGTTCACTGCTGCTCAGCCGAAGGTTGTAGACTGGTCTGAAGGCTGCGGGTGTCCTCTGCACCTATTCAGCAGCTCCCTACCGAAGACTAGAGTGCTCAGCCCGCCACAGAAGACTGTTCTGCAGCCCCCACTGCACAGGCCGCTGAGTGGGTGGGAACCACCACCGAGTGGTCTTGAGCTGTTCTGCAGACACTTCAGCAAAATGGAAATGAGGTTTAAGGAAAATAAAACACCAATTTCTTTTTTTAAAAAACAAACAAAACAAAACACCAATTTCTAAAATTTGTCTTCTAAAAAAAAAAAAGTACTTGTCAAGGTCAGGTATAGTAGTACACACCTATAATCCCAGAACTCGGGAGGCTGAGGCAGGTGGATCACATTGAGTTTGAGACCAGCATGTGTTACATAATGAGCTCAAGGCCGCACTGAGTTTACATAGCAAGACCTTGTCTCAAAAAAAAAAGTACATGCCAGGTTTGAAACAAGTGAGCTGCACTAAATATTTACAATAGAAGCCATGTCTGCAGGCAGCTCATGAAGCACTTTCCAGTTGAGGAACAGTAAACCCATAAATTCTCTTATGGCAGCTAATGACTAAAGGCATGGAATACTTTTGAATATAGAAGTAAAGGCATGAACAGCCTGTATAACCTATAATCAGAATAAAACAATACTGAAGGGATCAAGATGTAGAGCTAGCAGTGCCTGATGGTGTCTCTGAAACTGAGATGGTGAGGACAGAAAGTAGAGAATGGTGCTGGTGAGGTGAGAGAAGGTGGTGGCAGTGAGTCACATGTACATGGTGCCAAGGCTGACTTCTGGGAAGGGAAGTGAACAGGCGCTGTGCTCTCACGCATCTCCCTATGAATGCACATGTGTAGAGACTGCCATAAGGCCAAGCAGTGAAGTAAGGTAGACATAAACACGGGGACGGATAGGTTCCAGAAAGAGCGGCCCAGCCCCTTGAACACCAACCCAAAGAAACAGACACCTTCAAAGCCAGTGAGGAGCAACATTCAGATGTACAGATGAGAGGGGCTGCCCCAGAAAGAAGACCTGGTCTTTGAGAGAAAATTCTTCCAGCAATTGAAAAGGTAAAGTACCAATAAATTACCTCAATCTCCTTGGAAGGCCCTGAGTAGATCACATGGTTAAAATACGAACAGAGATGAAGTTAAAGATTGCTGAAGAACTAAACCTACAGCTTTTGATCACTAAGACTGAATTACCAGGCAAAAAACGGGTCTTTTATCTTCTACCTGAGAAGAGTCCATTGTACTAGATTATATAAATTATAAGAAAACTGGAGGGAAAAATATTAAGGATCATACTACTAATAAAGTTGTGGCAGGGATAAAAGAGTGCAATCCAAATCCCACGTACAGGCAGCACCACATCTACTGAGCAATTTGTATGAACTGGAGCGATGTTCATCTATATTCCTTTGGAGGAGAAGAGGCTTCCTGTATGATTGAATCATCTGCAAGATGATTTTCTGTTTTAAAAGTTTACAGATTGTTTAGAGCCAGCTATTATAAAGGGACTCCTCCCAAGGGATCATTTCTAGTGCAAAATATGTACAGATCTGAGGGTACAGTTCATTGAGTCTGGCCACAGCATTCGGCTGTGTAGCCACTTGCCCAGACAGGAAGATAACACTTACTTCACCCCTCAGTTTCCTCATGTTCCTTTCCAGTAAATCTAGCAATTTTTCAGCCTTCTACCTCTCATGCAGAAGTAGCAGTTGTTAAGATTTTGACTCATTAAAGCTTATTTTCATGGTTCTGGTATTTCACCTAAGTGGCCATACAGCATGGACTTTATCTGGCTTCTTTTACTCAATATTTTCTACATGATTGCATATATTAGAGGTTGTTTCTTTTTTACTTCTGAGTAGTGTTACGCTGTATAAATATACTACACTTTTTTATTCTCTTACTAATATATATTTGGATTATTTCCAGTTTTGGACTACTACAGATAAAGCTATTATGAAAATTCTTATACAAATCTTTCATGGATAAATGTTTCTGTTTGCCTAAGGCAAATGCTTAGGATTAAAATTACTAGATGTTTAACTTTAAACTATAAAAGAACTTTCTAATAATGATATATAAATTTATATTGCTATTGCCAGGCATGGTGGCTCAGGCCTGTAATCCTAGCACTGGGAAGGCTGAGGCAGGAGAAGTGTTGTGAGTTCGAGGCCAGCCTGGGCTACGAAGTGAGCTGAAGGCCAGCATGAGCCACTTAACAAGACCCTGTCTCAAAAAGACAAAAAATTTATCTTACTGTTATTAGTATATGAGAGTTCCAGTGGCACCATAGCTTAACCAATATTTACTCTTCTTCAGATTAGCCATTCTAAACGTGGGTGTGTGGTATTCTCTCAGGTGATTAGCATTCACCTCAGGGTGAATGACGTTGATCATTTTTCATGGTTTTTGGCCATTAGGAATACATATTACCAATATTTTTCACAGACTGTAGCTTATCTTTTTGTTTTCACTGCTTTTTGATCAGCAGAAGCTTAGAATTTTGTTAAAGCTCATTTTGTCTTTTTTAAATTTGATTTTATTGTGGTAAGAAAACACTGCCAACCCTAAAGCCACAGAGATAGTCTTGTGTGTGTGTGTGTGTGTGTGTGTGTGTGCACATGCATGTGTGTGCACTCAAGAAACTTTACAGTTTTTGCTTTTCCATTTAGTACAGTAATTACTGAAAATTAATTTTTGATCATAATCCAAGGGTGGTGTTAATGTTAATTTGTGTCTTATCTTCTCACCCAGTTGTTCCAGAGTTCATTGTTGAAAACTTTTCTTTCTCCCTGTATCATATTGATATCAATGCCATTTTCCTAAAATTTTAAATTCAGTTTGTGAGTTATGCTGGCCACTTTTCAGGTAATACAGAGCTCCATATGGCTTCTGACTACCATATGACTCACCACAGACATAAATATTTCCAGATCACAAAAAATCTATGCCACACCAGGGAACCATATCTAATAAATATATAGGGTCCTGGCAAAAGTAACCTAAACCAGTAAGAGTGAAGTTATAAGGAAGTTAAAAATCAATTACTTTCCAGGCAGGGTGGCACACACCTGTAATCCCAGCACTGGGGAGGCTGATGCAGGAGGATCTTTGTGAGTTCAAGACCAGCCTGGGTGACAAAGTGAGTTCAAGGCCAGCCTGAACT